GTGCGTTTGTATTCTAGGAAGGTTTCCCAGGTGAGCCTGGAAGAGGGATGGTGGAGCAGAATTGGCTGCTGTAGCAGTTTTTTTTTTTTTTAATGGGGTGGTAGCATTGCAGGGACCCAGGACCAAGGTGGAGGAAGGACACTGGACTAAATAGCTTTAGGAAGTTTCTGTTATATCATCCAAAACTAAAACTTTTGTTTGTGTTTAACCTTTTATTTTTTAAAACAATTCCAACTCACTGTAATATGCTAAAAAATATGTTTAGTTTCTGCCTTCTGTTCCTGGCATACAATTCCTAAACTCCTTGGCATCTCCAAAGTGATGTCTTTTTTTATGGTAAGGATATGACCTGTAGCTCAGGGGCAGGGGATGGGGCTCCCCGATGGCCTCAGGTTAGGGGCTAGTTGCCAGGGAAACCAACCACTGGATTAGAGACTGAAGTATTTAGCTTCTCTCCCACATCTGGTTAAGAAAAAGGGACTGGAGATGGATTATATCAGTACTGACCAGGGATTTAATTCAATCCTGCCTACTCAAAGAAGCCTTCATAAATCCCTGATGGACAGGATGGGGCTAGAACTTCGGAGTTCGGTGATCCTGCACCAGAGATTCTGGGAGGCAGGAGTCCCTGCAACATGGTAGAAATCCCTCCCCATCCTCCATCCCCTGCCACCTACATCTCTTCTATTTGGCTGTTCTTAAAATGTTTCCTTTCTAATAAACCACTAAATGGAAGCTAAGTGTTTCCCTGAGTTCCATCAGCCAATAACAGAAAAGAAAACCTGAGGAGACGGTTGTGGAAACATCTGATTTATAACTGGTCAGTCAGAAGCACAGATGACAATCTGGACTTGCCATTGGCACATGATTTGGGGTCAGTCCTATAGGATTTGTCACTATCTCTAGGTAAATAGTGTCAGAGTTAAACTGAATGACAAGGTACCAGTCAGTGTCTAGTGAACTGGAAAACTGAGAGATGTGGGAAAACACCCACTGGTGCCAAAGGTGAACAGTTGAGAGTGATGTGAAGTATATATTTTTTTGAAAAGTTGTTTTCTCCTGTATACTTGTTAACTGCTACCCTTGTGATACTCATTGAAACCTTTTTCATGTGGGCCATGGGGAGACCCTGTCTCAAAAAGACCGAAAAAAAAAAAAAAAAAAAAAAAAAAAAAAAAAAAAAAACAGTTTGTATCTGGGTCAACAACCTGGGGCCTTGTGGAAATGTGGCAAGTACCTGTGAGCACAGACAAGCCTTGTCTTGTTGAACTTCTCAGGGATTTATATGAAAGGATAACATAAAATTAACCATCACAGTATATTTGTCTGAGGACACTGGGAGCCCTGAATCCTGCCTGTCCCAGTACTATGTTTATAGACCGTGCTGGTGAAGATCTGACAATCATGGTGTCTGGGGAGGAGTGAAGAAGCTGAGAATATTGCCCTGAAGAGTGTGATAAAAGTCCAGTGACATCCTCAAAATTGGAAGGTTTGTCTCATGGAAGGATGAGGAAGGAATTATTTAACTGGTAGGCATGACTCAGACTAGCAAACAGATGAAGCTTGTGGGTAGAAAGAGAACAGGGCCAGCCAGATAGCTCACTGGATAGCTGAGTTCAATCTCCAGGGTCCACATGGTAGAAGGAGAGGACTGCCTCCTGTAAGTTGTCCACTGACCTCCAGATCATGGCATATGTGTGTGTGCATGTGCACACACACACACACAGGGGTGGGGGGGATGTAATTTTGGAAGAAAGGAAGGAAATGAGGGGAGGGAGGAAGGAAGGGAGGGAGGGAGGGAGGAAGGAAGGAAATCTTTTATCTTGGGAGTGAATGAGATCTTTTTAGAAGGGTTAAAACTGAAGCCCAGTGTGACCATAAGTCATGAGCCTCATGCTCTAGTCTTGCTCTGTGCTGACTGTCCAGCCTTGGGGAAGTCATAGTCTTCACTAAATTAAATGAATAGTTAACTCTGAACAATACCTTCTACAGCTCCATCGTGGCTGGGAGAGGCCTTTGCAAGGCCAGGACAAGTGGTGGTTGGGGGAAGAGTGCTAACTAACCACTTGCCAAAGCAGGAAATTTCCATTGACTTGTAGTCGGGACACCTCACTACCCCTGGCAGCGTTGCTTTCTTCTTATTGGAATGTGCCTGAGGAGTTGCTGTAGTTCTGTTTCCAGATTCCTCAGACTTGAGTTTATGAACCTTATGGCTGCCTGGAGCGAAGACACAGTGGGGCAGGGTTGACAGTGTAGTGTCAGGAGGGATCTGCAGGAGCGATCCCTTCTCAAAGAACCAGCCTTTCCATCCTCTGGCTTTTTAATGACTTCAGGCCACATTTCATAGCTGCTGCTGATTTCTTCTTTTTATGTACTCTGTCTTTCCTTGCTTCTGGAATGTACCAGCATGATACATCCCTTTATTCACTCTGAAAAAAAAAAAAAGTTCTCTTTGTATAAACATATTTAAAACCCAAAATTAAATTTTATGGCTATAATGTGAATGAGGACACGAGCCACAGAAAGCTTCGGCGGGGGGGGTGTCAAAGGCCTCTATATTGCTGTGGGTTTTGTTCTTTCAATGACAAGCTTAATAAAAATACCTTTTCAGTGTAAGTACTTCTCGGTGGCAAGATTTTTACTGCAGAGCTAATGTCAGAAAGCCAGATAAAGACGGTTTGAGGTTTAGTAGCTGCACCCCAGAGGAGTTACTGAGAGGTGGCATGGTTAGGCCAAAAGATGGATTGATTGGGAGCTTTTCCATGAGCAGACAACATCTACACAGAGTCAAAGCTAAACTTTCCACACTGGTTTTGCTTGTAACTGGCATCAGGACACTTAGAAATTGCCATTACTGTCCTTGAAAGCATTTTGTGATGCCTAACACAGAGTTGGTGGGCATAGTTAATGGTCACTGTTATGATGTAGTTTATGCCCAGTTTAATGATTAATTCTGGGCTTCCCAAGCCAATACAGACCAGAAGGGCCTCCTTACTCTTTAAGAATTAAATGGGTGGGGCTGGAGAGATGGCTCAGTGATTAAGAGCATAGACTACTTTTGCAGAGGACCTGCATTCAATTCCTAACACCCACATGGCGGCTACAAACCATCCTTAACTCCAGTTCCAGGGAAATCCAAAGACCTCTTCTGACATCCATGGCATTGCATGACACAGGTGCCACCACAGGTGCCCTCACATACATACACTCATAAAATAAAAACAATAATAATAATAAAAAAGTATTAAATGGGGGCTGGTAAGATGGCTCAGTGGGTACAGGTGCCTGCCACCAAGCCTGAAAACCCTACAAGTTGTTCCCTGACCTCCACACGTGTCCACGCACAAACACACAAAGTAAATAAATGTTTTTCAAAAAGAAATAGCCTGTTTATGTGATAGAACTATTTGGAGGCTCATACTGGGGACTCTAGCAGATGATTCAATGGTAATAACACTGGGTCATTGCTCCATTATCTCTAGTATGTACGGACAGTGTCTACAGCAGAATCTCTCGGGCTCCATGTTGGTGCCATTTTGGATAATTCTGTATTGGAGCTTTTCCATGCACTGTAGAGTGTTTAGCAGCTCCTCTGGCCTGGATAGATGCCAGTGTCACCTCTCTCTTGGTTACGACAATTGAAAGTATTTCTTTTTTTAAATTATATACTTTTATGTATATGAGTGTTTGGGCTGCACATATGTAGGTACATCACCTGTGATGATGGTCTGCATATGTCCAGTGGTAATGTGGCACTTGCATAGATCTTGAAAGTTTTGTTAGGATCAGTTCTCTTTGTTAGCATCAGCCTCTTGGTTTCAATACCTGTGGGAATTTGGGAGTCTTACAAAATGAGCTATTGGGATTGGAGAGCTCGCTCAGCAGTTAAGTGCAGTGGCTGCTCTTGCATAGGACCCGGGTTCAGTTCCCAGCACTCACATGGCAGCTGACAACCATCTGTAATTCCAGTTTCAGGGGATCTGACACCCTCTTCTGACCTCTGTGGGCAATGCACGACACGGGTGCACTTACATACATGCAGACAATACTCATCCACATAAAAATAACAAATAATAAATTTTAACAAAATGAGCTATTATATACATTCTTCACAATGCTATGAAATTGAGGGAAGATGGGCAATCTTTGGCTATCCTCTTATCTCAGTCCTCAGGTTATAACCCCCGCCCCCCAAGGATTCTCACTGTGTCACTGTTATGGTGACTTCCTTGGCAGAAGCCACGCGGAAGCCATGTTCAATTGCTAGCAGGATTTTGGATCATTTGCCCTGACCTTGAAGTTCATTATAAGCCCCCACACACACTTACCAACACTTCCCCACATGACATGCAACACTTTATAGTCAGTTGACTTCTGGCACTCATGGAGCACTGGTTCCAGGGACACCTCCCCATACCACAATCCTCCTAGATACTCAGGTCCATCACAGAAAATGGTGTCCTGTTTGCATATAACCTACAGAATTGCTCCTGTAGACTTTAAATCATTCTTAGATCACTTATGATACCCTATCTAGATAAATGCTGTGTAAGAAATTCTTATACTGTATTGTTTAGGGAATGACAAAGCCAAAAAAAATTGTTTTAAGTCCATACACATTGAGAGCAGGTACAGTGTTTCCCCTAAATGTTTTAAATCTGCATTTAATTCAGTCCACAGATGTGGTAGTAATATAAATAAAGGAAGGTTGACAGTACTTGGAAGGTTGGCTTTTATTGTAGGTTAATGGAGAACAGCAAAGGTTCTCATAACAAAATTCTTTCAAAGTTCAAAGGGAAACCCTTCATGGGATTATCTGGGTGAAGTCAATTTTGGATTGTTTCTGGAATTCAGGTCCTGAAGTACCTGGCTCTGTAACATGCCTTATAACAGGAGAGACAAATTGGGTATGATTAGTCAGTGTGACAAGTGCTTTCTCTAACTCTGGTTTGGCTCCAGGTCACTATGTCATGTTAAGTATGCAATTGTATTTGCTCCAGGTGTCCGAGGGATCTGTGGTCCAGTTTGTATCACGAAACTTTTCCCTGACAGCAGAAACAGAAGAAAGGAACTTCCCCCATGGAAATGAGCATCTACTGAATTGGGCCCGAAAGGAGTATGGAGCAGTTACCTCGTTCACGGAACTCAAGATAGCAAGAAACATCTACATTAAAGTGGGGGAAGGTAAACTTTATATGGCTTCAGTTAATGACTGATTTCTGTCTGTTCACTGTTTACCTTTCTGAGTTCAGATGGTTAGAGCAAGGGATGGTAGGATTCCAGAATGCTGGAGCTGGCACAGACCTGTGGGATCATTAGGCCTATTCCCCTCCGCATTCCTTCCTTTCTTTTCCTTCTGCAGAAAGGTGGCTGGTTATTACCAAATGAGGGGTGAGGAGTAGTGTGGTCAAGAGAAGAGTTTGTTCTCTAGGATTCAGAGGTCAGCTGGGCATGGAAGTCAGACGTAAGCAGCTGGGGTATGGGGAAGTCTGTGATACCTGATGTAAAGGAGTGGCAGAAAGTGTCAGACAGGTGGCCAGCTTCTTACCTGTCATCCTGCAAATGTTTGAATCCAGGGTCAAGTTCTAGTGTTGAGACAGAGGTTGAATTTTGGAGAGTAGCAGAGGAAAAGTGTTCACGTATATTTTTTTGTACTAATGCTGTTACAAGAACAAGTTATTGGAGAAAGAAATTAAATGGTGTTGATAACAGATTGTCGGTTTTAATTTCCTTGCCTTGCAGAAGGAGATAAATATCTGATGATGCAATCTTCAAAGCCTTTTTTTTCAAATCATCTTTTCCTAATTATTTTTAATTGAATATATTTGACCCCTTCAAGTTACTAGGAAATAACTCTCATGAATGAGTCCTTGTCCTAAGCTGGCTGTATAAACACAGTGTTTTAGCATCCTGTGTTAAATCTGACAGCAGTTGTTACCCCCCTCCCCAGATGGCATAGCAGGATGTTGAAGGCTTGGTGACCCAGCTTGGATCTGGACTATTTTAAATTATGTATGAGACAGGTGAGGGAAGGGTGGGTGCTGATGTTGGGGTGTTTGCTGTGTGTAGAGACCACACCTGAAATTTTCACATAAACACTACTGAACCTCATAGCAATTCCAGAAGGGAGGCATTGCTTCTGCTGTTCATAGATGGTTGAGTGAACATGTTCTAGTCCATATTACTAGCAAGTGGCAAAGCCAGATCTTAAACATAGATGTCCTCACTCTTAAGTTGAATGTTGTGTCCTGTGCTGTACTTGTCTTAGCCAAATGAACATAACTCCCAAAATGAAGATGGGCTGCTGAAGAGAAAGGCTTAGCTTGTTGGTCAGAGAGAAGGGGTTTTTATAAGAATTAAATTTGAAAGGCCTAAACTTGTTACCACACTCTTGTGGCAGTTAGGTAGCTAATAATAGAGGTCAAGTCTCATTGAAACAAAGTGAAAAATCACTTTTAATGAAGGCTCTAAGCCTAGCCAGTGCTCTGCATCTTTGTGGCAGACTCTAGTAGCCTGAAGGAATTTGTTAGAATAAGAAAATGTGGTGTGGTAACCCAATCCCTTCTTAGTACATGTAGATCAGTAGTTTCCTTCCCTGAGAGTTAAGTCACTCAGTGACTTATCTCCACGCTGGGCAGGGAAAGTTAATTAAAAGACTTGATGTCCAGTCCAGTAGCCATAGATAACTCCTTGATTATACTCTAGGATTCCCTGAAACTTGACTTCGGCCATCATTTGGGTCTAAGTCACTGACTCATGCCACAGAAAGCAATTAGAAATGCAAGGTTTCTTGGTTAGATTTGTAGAACCCAGGCAATGTAATTGATTGTCCCCATGGCTCAAACTCCACTGAGCCAGCCTCATTGATTAGCTCCCAAACAGGAGCCCCAGACTAGAAGCCTCATTTTTCTCAAACCCCAGTGTTTCTCAGTCTGGTTCCCACCTCTACAGCATCAGCATTACCACAAACTTTGTTAGAGATGCTGTTTTTGATAGGTAAAAAGTTGGCGAAGAACGAGATAATGGAGGATGAGGCACAGCTAAAATTCCATCAAAATAGGGTTTATTAGCAAAGGAACACATGGGACAGATGCCCTTCTGGGCAGGGAAAATGTCCGCCCGGGTCTTCAGGGGCTGAGGGGTGTGTCTTTTTAAAAGGGAGGCTTCTGCTTCCTGCAGAAGGTGGAAAGATGTATTTTTTTTTTTTTAAAGTTGGGGGGGGGCAGTGGGAGAGCAGGACTGTTAAAACCTATCCTCTTTAGAGATCAAAGGGGAAGGCTGCTGTGTTGGCCAAACAGTGGAGAAAAGTCTGCTTCTCTTGACTTCAAAGACCAAGGTGCTTATCAGCTAGGTTCCCTTTTCTCAGGAGCATGAGAAGTCCTTGGGATCCTGTTGGTGAGGGGGCGGGGCTATCTGAACCTTAACAGTTTTTTAGCTCAGTCCTGGCCTAACTGGACCAGAAACAGGTGGGGTCAGCAGTGTTTCCTTGAGCCTTCCAGCTGGTTGTGGTGCTTGACCCTGTGGAAGAACTGAAGTTTCAGAGTGCCGGCCCTTCTCCAGTTGTTCCGTTATGACAGGCCTCAAGCAATATGGATTTATCACCAGAGCCTCAGTCTCCTCAGCAGGAAAAAGAGCCTTCATATGCCCTCTGAGTCTGATTCCTGCTCTCAGACATTCTGGGTCTCAGAGTCATTCAGCCATCTCCAAAAATGCAAATTAGCCACATGACCCTTCCCCCGCTCCCCAAACTTACCATGTTTCTACCTGGGAATTGCCCCTTGTGGTTTTCTTTTTATTTGGCACTTAGTGTAAGTTTTGACACCAGGCATGTAGAAAGTCACTTGAGCTGGGGGACCCCACGCAACAAAAAGTGATCAGCTCGTTTAGCTTAGTGAGAGTGACATCTAAGATGAGCCTTGAACAAAAGCAGCTTTGGGACAGTTAAACCTTTCCTAGTGCCTCACCAACCTGAGTGAATTTTTGGCTATTTGTCTCAAATTTCATATCCTCATTTGTGGACTCAGATAACCTATACCATGTGCTATTAAGTGCCAGTTACAAGCCAGGCACACCTGTGCTAGAAATACGGCCATAGCCTCTAGAGGACCCTGTTCTCTTGAGTCCTCTGGCCCATATACACACCTCCTGATTTTTAATTAAATGTCAGGCCTGCAGCCCCGGTATCATTTCCCATCCTGTGACCTGGGGGAGGCATCACAGGGCTGCAGCTGTGAGGTTTGCATTCCTCATCTGCACATCTGGCAAAACCCTCAGCAGATGTAGAGGAAGGCCACTCCAGCAGCCTGAGCCGTGGAGCTGTGGGCTGTTTTCTCAGAGGGGATTTTTAGAAAATATGCAGGTGCAGAGCCACCACTCTCTTGCAGTGAGCCTATAAGCATGCGAACTTCTCTGGTCCCCTCTGTTCTGAGGTGGTGCTGGGGATGTCACAGTGGTTTGAGCTGTGATGCCATCGTGTGTGCTGTAGACTTTAGCAGAAGGAAACTGGATAAGTTAGGAGAAGGGGCATTGTCAACTCAGCCTTGGAACCGCCCAGGCTGATTCTCCAGTGAGACTTCCACGTGGATGTGGACCCTGGCATCCCACCCTTAAAGTGCAAAAGGAATAAGTCTGTCTCGTTCAAGTGCCAGATCTGATTAATTGCCCCTTCTGAGAAGTTTGCTACACCTAGAACTTGATGCTGGTCCCAGCTGTTGCAGTGCCAGCAGTTTCTTTCATGGTCTGTTTAAACATTTAAGTCATTGGATGGAAATTCCATCAGGCACAGTGCAGTATAAAAGACATGTGTCGCTGGGGCAGTATTTTCATCTTGGTGCTGGCTTCACTTTCCTGAGTGGAGATGGTGAGCAGTCCTCAGCACAATGGTGCTTGTAAAAGCTCCCTATAAACTGATAACTGTCATATTAAAGTTAGAATTCTAGGTCAAGATTCTGAGGAGTGAAGGTTTGCTGTCTTTCCCCTAACTCCTACCTTTGACTGCAGAGAATAAAGGGCTATGAGGAATTAGAAGGAGGGTGTGATGAGTGTTCATGTGTGGGTCAGAGACCCAGTTAGGTGATTGGTTCCCTCATTGGTTGAAATTGTAAGGATCCATGAGAAACTTAATTGTGGATAGGATTGACAATGAATTCAGTATTGAGTTCTTATGGGAAATACCTGTAGAGGTGGAAATCTCTTGGTAGACAGATGAAAGTCTGAGTCTACAACTCAAAAGAGGAGCTGTGGTATGAGTCCAAGCAGACATCATGGGAGTAACTGAAGTCATCTAGGGAAAATAGAGAAGAAAGATTAAGGAAGGAGCCGGGGTTCCGAGTCTGTCCTATTTTGCCTAACATAATGATTTCCAGTTGCGTCCATTTTCTTGCAAATGTCATGATTTCATTTTTTCTTTTGGCTACGTATCTTCTTTTGTTGTTTTGTTTTGTTTTTGAGACTTGGCCTCTAGCCCAGGCTTCAAGCTTACTGTCTAGCTGAGGGTGATCTTAAACTTTTAATCTTTCTGCCTCCACTTCCCAAGTTCTGTGATTACAAGTGTGCACCACCTTGCCCAGTATATGCAATACTGAAGATCAAACCCAGGGCTTTCTCCCTGCTAGGCAAGCACTTTACCATCCAAGCTACATTCGCAACCTGGAGCTGAGATTCTTAGTGTTGGTTTACATTGGGATTAATAACTACAGAGCTTTTCAAAAAAGAAAGATGACTACATCTTACCTGATGCTCTGAAACAGATTTGCAGGGGCAGAGCCCTAACAGGTAGATTCTACATGGACCAAAGATTGAAGAATACTCCAGTGAAAATGGCTGAAACATGGGTAAAAGGAAATGAGCAGGGGCAAAAAAATATCACAAAGAACAAGCAAGGAGAGGGCATAGGCACAAAGAGGAGACTAGCATGGCGCAGTAGGAGGTTAGCAGCAACCATAGTGGGAGGCTTTCTGAGTGGTGATTGAGGACACAGATGAGGCCCTCCCTCAGGCTTGTGGTTCCTGTGTCACGCACTCACTCCATCTCACTGTCACCTCTTTCCATCCAGTCTGGTTCCGTGTAGTTGTGTGGTTTGACCTAGTGCCCTGTGTGTCTTTCAGATCAAGTTTTCCCTCCCACATGCAACATAGGGAAGAATTTTCTCTCGCTCAATTACCTTGCTGAGTACCTTCAACCCAAACCAGCTGAAGGGTGTGTGATGTCTAGCCAGCCTCAGGATAGAGAAGTGCACATCATTGAGTTAATAACCCCCAATTCGAACCCTTACAGGTAAGCAGGTATGTCTGTCTATCTATCTGTCTGTCTGCCTGTGTGTGTTCTATACTGAGCTGAGATGACACTAAGATCTTTCCTGATTTGAAGGTAAGAGAAGAGCAACTCACTTTATGCAGCAAGGAGGGAGCCAGCTTTGTTCAGGTGTGGGGCACAGGAGCTGTGAAAAGGGAGGAAGGCGCAGTGGTGTGCGTTGTACCTTCACCTGCCTTTAGGTGCCTATATTCTAAAGGGGTTCCTGACACCTATTCTGAATAGCTGAGCATAAGTTATAAGACTTCTACCCTTACTCTCTCATGATCTCCTTTGAAATTATCCCTGCTAAGAAGGTTAAAGTTACAGAGTGCTCCTTATTATTATAGTTATGATTTCAGTAAAATTCTTTTAATAAAATCCTGTTTATAATATTTCAGAACACTAATGTACTCAGAACTGTTTAAATTATCCCCCCATGTATATTTGTATGTATATGTATATTTGTATATGTATATGTGGGGGCCTCTTCATGGTAACACACCAAGAAGCCTTTCAATGATCCAATTTGCCATGTGTTTTTCTCTCTCTGTTTCCCACCCCCAGACTGGAAATCTGACCCTCCCTATTGAAAGTAATTAGAAAAATTTTTTACAGAAGAAGAAAAGTTTGTTTTCCCATTTTAACCTGTATTTCATGTGGACTGATGACTTTACATTTACATTTTATTGTAGAGGGAGTTCAGAAGTTAAAAGCATAATTGGGGTTTGAGTTCAAAATTGAATAGATTACATACACATCAGTTTTGCTAAGATTCCATTTGGTCCCATTGAAGAATTTGGGGGAAAATAGGAATGGAGATGGAAAGAACCTGGTGAATATGTCAGCTCTTCAGTCCAGGTTGCCATTTGATTATAGCACCCTCACATTATGCTTCACGTGTGTGTAAAACTAGGACAAATAAGACCCTTCCTCAAATTCAGAATGACAAGAGACGTGATCATTTAATTACAAAGTTCTCTTTTAAGCTGAATTCTTAGAAGTTTTCATTGTGCGATCAGTTTTCTAGCAATCACTTGCTTGGCCTCTGTTTTATTTATTTTAGTAACTATGTATCCAGAAGTTTGGGAAAGTAAATACAGATATGATTATTTAACAATTATTAATGGTTTAAACAAACCTTATATAAGTGAAGAAATTCTGTGGCTTTTGCCCCCTAGTACCTGTGCATCTGTCTTGCCTCCTCCTCCCTGCTTCCTGCTGCCTACCTCACCAACCAATACCCACTTCCAGCTTTGAAGGACTTTTGAAGTTACACAATGAAATTGTGGAAGGTTGAAAAAGCAACAGTCCTGCTTCAAAACTAAACTGGAGTCCATTTCAAACAGTGGCTGCTTTAAATAACGGCCCTTCCCTCCCCCACAAAAGAAAAAATTGGAGTGGCTAATTATCAGCAGGCGTGTGTTTCTATTGTTATGTAAACCTATTTGGTTATGTGTGCAATAACAATCTGTTTTGCACATGTCATTTGCCTGGGATCTGATCCAGCATTTTAATCAACTGGCCAGACACTAGAAACACGAAGACTTGGAAGCAAGAAGATAGTTGCTGCTTTCTGGTATTCGGGTCCTAACTTTGCTTTTGTTTTCCACACACAGTGCTTTCCAGGTGGATATAATAATTGACGTAAGACCTTCTCGAGAGGATCCTGAGGTAGTCAAGAACTTAGTCCTGATCTTGAAGTGCAAAAAGTCTGTCAACTGGGTGATCAAATCTTTTGACATCAAGGGAAACCTGAAAGCTATTGTAAGTTGGTTGACTATTTCATGGTCTTGATGAATGACCATAATTTAAACTGTGGTTATATGTGTAATTTTTTAAAGGTTCTGCCTCCTTGAACTTTTGAAGCTCTTTCAGTTAGTTTTCAAATTGTTAGATACCAAATACGGTATCCGCTGACTTTTCTTGACAAGGGCAGTCAGTGTGGTGGCTGAAACATGGCTTCCAGGAGCACTGCAGACTTGGGTTTGAGTTCTTTTTCTCCCAGTTAAAAATTGTAACGTTGGGGGCTGGAGAGATGGCTCAGTGGTTAAGAGCACTGGCTGCTTTTGCAGAGGACCCAGGTTTGGTTCTCAGCACCCACATAGCAGCTAACAACCATCTGTAACTCCAGTTCCAGGGGATCTGATGCCCTCTTCTGATCTCTGTGGACATTGCATAACACATTTGCACTTACATACATGTAGGCAATACTCTCATACACATAAAAATAATAAATATTTTTAAGAATTGTAATTTTGAACAAGTTCCTTCAGCTTTCTGAATTCCAGTTGCCTCGTTATGAAATTCTTGAAATGTATTAGTGTGTTTTCTAGTCAGAGTAATATAAAGTAACAAACACAGGTCAATCTTTCATGACTGATTGCCCCTTGGCACCTTAAGTGTCATGGTCCTGAACACCAGCTTTTACACAGTGGTCAGGTGCTGAGAGAAGTTGAGAAATTAGACTGACCCCAGTTCATGTCGTAGATTTTCTTTTTGGATAAAAATGCAGTATTGGTGTGAATTTTGCTTGCTTCTAACTTCTAGGAGTAAACTCTGACAAAGGAGTAAGTAATTGTGGGGACTGGGGAGCTGGCTCAGTCAGTAAAGTGCTTGCTATGCAAGCCTGAGGCCCTGAGTTCCAATCTCCAGAAGCTGTGGTTATAATCCTAATATGGTAGGGGTGGTGGGCAGAACCAGGAGAGCCAGAGCTCATTGGCCATCCTGCCAGCCTAGCTGAATCCGTGAGCTCTGGGTTCACTGAGTCACTGTCTCAAAACACAAGGTGGAAAGTGATTGAGGAAGACACCTGATGTTGATCTCTGGTCTCCACACACATACACATACATATGTACACACCCACAGAAACATGTTCATATACCAGAAGTACAGGTTTTCAAAAAGTAACCATGGGCATGCTCCAGCTTATCCCTGAAGCATTATATTTTGCAAGGCTTATACCTTGAGAGGCTTTGATGACTGAAATGGTAGGAGGCAATAGCTTGTTTCCTAAAATCTTGAATGTTGAAGTTTGGTGAAATAAGCTTATCTCAGATATATTTGTTTGGCCAAATATTGGAGCAAATTATATTATATTATATTATATTATATTATATTATATTATATACATAACTTATTAATATTATATATTATATAAAACATTTCTTCGGCATCTCTTTTGTAGGGTCCAATCTTAATATATTTTTTAAAATCAGCCCATTTCTTTTCTGTCGCTTGTATTAAATCAGTTGGAGTGGGTTTTAGATTTTTGATATTTTGAGATGGGGCTACCTTTGGTTTGGTTTTCATTAGCATACAGCACCTATGTGAGCCGGTAGTGAGCAAAGCCCGTGGTTTCCTAAGCCAAGGCACAGACAGGAACTCACCAGAGAAGCAGGCAAAGCCAGTAGCACATATATCTTCATTTTAAAGTAATTGTTCCTGGTTCCTGTGGGTATTATCATTATTATTATTTTCCTTAAACCTTGAGAGGGTCCCAAGTAACACATCATGTGTAATGGTGATGCGTGAATTTGGTGTCAACACAAAGCCCAGTCGTGATTTTCCGAGGTCACAGATATTTTGATTGCCTTCCTCTGGTATGGCATATGGGGTGATGGCAACCTGGGGCGGCTGCAGCTTTTGCTCCCTGGCACACCAACCAAATGTTTTTAATTTCAGAATAACAAAAACAGGAAAGGGAATCATGCTTTGAAAAGCAAAAAACATACAGTACATTTTAATTCCCTGCTGGAGTTCTTGTGTAAATACTCTCTCCACCCTGACCCTTCAGTGGCTCCTCTGTCCCTGAGTGAGTGTGCCTGGACCACAGCAGTCCTGGGGTTTGCTTTAAATGCCCCTGTCTTTCAGATGAATCAGAAAGGCTGGAAATGAGATGGTCCATCATCCCAAGCAAGATTTGTTTATATTCCTTTCTTTGGCTGGATTCCTGTTCCAAGCCAATTTTGGACAATACATGACAACATTACTAAACAATTAGGTAATGTTTCATGATGTTCTTTTGATTCCCCCAATCAGTTTCATGCTATTTGATTTCCTAACTCCCTTAGATGTGAATTCTAACTGCACTGTGGGCAAATTGGTACTTGCTAAGACAAAGTTTTAACTTACTGCTTAGAAAGGGAGAAATGGTTCAGAGAGAGCTTAGTTCCAGTCTTCCCTGTAGAGACAATGCTGGCTCAGCCAGACAGGGCTAAATTCAAATTATACCTCCAATTGTCATTATTCCCAGTACATATTGGACAGTCTAGTTGAGTACTTATCTGTTTACATACCTGTGAAATGAGTACATGATGACAGAACTCACCTTGAAAGTTACTATGCAGTTCAGCTTGAGTTCATTCATTCTTCTCATTAATTCATTCAGCAAGTATCTCTTAAGGTCTTATATGGTATCTCTCTTCCATAAAGCACATGGGCACATGGTGAGTTCCCAGATACCTGTGATTACTTAATCTGTGAGCCTTAGCTTCCCTTTCTTTAACAAAGGTGTGTCAGTCCCCAGCTTCTTATATTTTAAGGGAGGATTAAATAAGATAATGTATGTAAAGTTCTAGTACAGCACCCATTGTAAGAAGGATTCATTTGGAAGGTATACCATGGGAATATTTGGCTTCTTCTTTAATCAAGGGGAAAGCAAAACATTGTCATCTAAATGAACCACAAGTAGTTTGATGAGAAAACTATAGAGAACATTATGAGATGTCAGTGGCTTATGCCTGAGTTTGTCAGAGGTTCAGAGCAGGCAGAATGCACCCTCGTAAATGGCAAAGTGGTCAAAAGAAATCAGAGGGCTCTGCAAGCCAGAGCAGGAACAATGGTGATGTGGCTCAATGTGGCTTTATCTGGTGGACAAAGCATAGTAATTTCTACAGCAGGAAGAACCCAGAACAGAATAGAAAAGATGGAGGAAATCTGTTACAAGTTTCATTTTGTCGGCCAGTGAGATGGCTCAGCCAGTAAAGATACCTGCTGCCAACCTGCCAACCCCATGGTAGAAGGAGAGCACCAACTCCTGAAAGTTGTTGTCCTAGTTACTTTCTATGGCTGTGATAAAAACACTGACCAAAAACAACATGGGGAGGAAAGGGTTTATTGTATCTTATATCTCCCAGGTCACAGTTCATCACTGAGGGAAGCCAGGACAGGAACCTGGAGGCAGGAATTGAAGCACAGGCCATGGAGGCTTGCTCTCCTGCCCTGTTTTCATCTTGCTTTCTTATATAACATAGGACCACATGCCCAGGGCTGGCATTGCCCACAATGGACTGGGCCGTCCCACATCACTCAACAATCAAGAAAATGCCCCACAGACATGGCCACAGGCCAATCCAATGTTGGAAATCCCTCAGTTAAGGTTCCCTCTACTCAGGTGTGTCAATTTGACAACAGAAGCTATCTGGCACAGTTGTCTTCTGATCTCCACATGTATGCTGTCACACACACGAATAAATTAAAAATATAATAAATAAAATATATGATTCCTCTTCTACTGTTTGATGTAGCCTCACAAATTACTATTTTTTTCTTAGAAAAAGCAAAGATTTTAAGATTTAAGATCAAATCTTTAAGAAGATTTAATAGTCTTAAGTGTCAGTGAGTGTATGCACTATGTTCTGTGACCTGCCCTTTCCTGAAGCCCCTCTCCCTAAGTATGGAGTAGGGCAGGGATGGAACTCATCATTACAAAATGGATCCGGGAAAGACCATGGTGGTATTTGGGGTGCCCCCTTTGCACATTCTCTTAGCTTCACCAAGGTTGGGGAAAGCCTGGGGACTCATTGACATACAGGGAGAAGAATTTTGTCAGTGCTAGGAACCAATTTGCCTTCCATTATCTCAAGCCTTGATGCCTTAATGATGTGAAGATTGACATCTAGCCTTTTAAGTTCCAAGGCATAATTAATATGAGTTATACTGACAGCTCCTAGATTTAATGTGGAAAGGGGGAGAACAGATTATTTCATACTGGTAGAAAAGGACAGGTGGCAGTTACAATGATAGGATTCTGGAAATATAGTATTTTCTCAGCTGTCTGACAACAGGAAAGTCTAGGGCAGATGAGGCCAGGCAGTATTGTTGAAGCCAAGGTTGCGGTCGCAGCCAGTCAAAACACATGCTGCTTTGAAAGACTGGAAGAAACTGCGCCTTAGAAGCTTCTGTTGACAGAATAGAAAGTTCTAAGAAGCAACTGGATCTGCCTTTGCTAATATAATTCTTTCCTTCTTTCTCTCATTTTCCTTTCCTCTTCTTTCCTTTCCTCACCCTCCCTTCTCCTTCCTCTTTTCCCTTACTCCCTCTTTGCCTTTTTCTTCTCATTCTTCCCTTAAGGAATTTTCTCTGAATCTGAGTTAAGAGCGAAGCTCATCTGAATCTGTGGCCTTGAGCTTACACATGGTGGTGCAACTTGGTTGCGTCTCCATCTGGTTCCTTCACTTGCAGAGCATGGCTGGCCAGTCTGGCTGGGTTTCCATCAGAAAAGCTCTTTGGGTAATAGGAAAAGATTGGGTGAGATCTTTTAAGCTTTGAATTGAAATATCTGTCCTGAGCCAGTCTCCCACAACCTGAGGTCAAGAGAGCTTAGAGTAGAGCCTGCGAATCTTTTACGGGTTTGCAGTGGGAAAGGATTAATATTTAGTCATGTTTGGGACAAACAGAATGGGAAACAAATGAGGAATTTAGGAAAAATGCTGTAGATATGCAGGAGAAAATCACTGGGCATGGAAATTAAAGGGATTTTTATGCAGCGTGGAAATAGCATAATCCGTGCCCTGGATGAGCTCCCCAGCCCTTTTAGAGCAGGAGTAGAAATGGCCTTCCCATTGGGGTGCTTTACAGCATTCATCACCTTCCCCTGCTCACAAGACCCATGCCACAGGAGTCAGTAGGGACATAGGTGGTTACTGCCCATATCCTGGCCACCCAGGCTATTCGTATCCTTCCCTGAACATACACCTCTTATTCAGCTTTATTAGCTAGTGAAAACTATTTTTTAATATAATGTGCTTCATGACTTTGGGTATCATCCTTGTAAACAGGCCATGTTAATCTTTACATGGTTCTCATTTGGGTATATGTGCTGCTGATGTGAACACACAGAGGCCAATTTTGTGACTTCCTCTATTACTAAATAAAGTGCTGATATTTAGGTAATATCTGTATTATTATTATTATTATTATTGTTATTATTTGCATATGTTTGTGGGCACTTGTGCCATGGCACATGTATGGAGGTCAGAGGACAATTTGCAGAAATCGGTTCTCTCCTTCTACCTAGAAGGTCCCAAAGATCAAACTCAGGTCCTCAGGCTTGGTGGCACCCTTAACCAATGAGCCATTTAAATGGTCCCTTGGGCAGTAATAAGAGCATAAAATATAGTCCAATAATAGAATTGACAAGTGAGTACAATTTCAGGATTGCTAAACCAATCATAAATTATGGATGAAAAGTAAGTGTTGGTTGTTTTACCATGTCGAAATTAATAGCTTATAAAGTTGGAATAGTTACTAGGTTATACCACCATTCATTTAAATCTAGGGACACAAGCAAAAACATAGGCTTTTTTTTTTTAGCAACAAAATGTATATGTCTGTGTACTTTATGAATTATTTTAAATAAAACTAGGAAGGGCACATTTGGAATATGCATTTGTAGTATAAGAACCTGAATGGTGGAAGCAGACACCATAAATGGCTCTCTTTTGTTTTTTGTTTTGTTTTTTTGAGACAGGGTCTCCTTTTAGCCCCAGCTGGCTTGAAACTTGCCATGTAAATCAGGCCGACCTGGATCTCAGAAAGATTTGCCTGCCTCTTCCTCCCAAGTGCTGGGATTAAAGGTGTGTGTCACCACACCTGGTAAATGGCTGTCTCTAAGTCTCTTGTTAAAAGCTTTTATATATCTGAATCTTAGCCCAAGGAAGACAGGAATTTAAAGGATAAATCCTCATTATACAATCTAGAATCTTGTCTCAAGTAATTATCATTATTTAAAGCATTTTAAAGAATAGCTTTTATTTATTCTTTGTATACATGTATGAATTTGTCAATGTATCTTGATCATCCCCATCCCCATCTAACCTGGTCACTTCCCAACACATCCACCTTTATCTTTATGTCCTTTCTTCTTTCCTCTATTTTTTTTTTTTTTTTGTAACCCAGAGTCCTGCTGGAACCTTGGCTGATTTTGGTTGAACCCCATGCAGGTCTTGGAGAACAGTTGGTAATTTTAGACTCATGAGTGGCATTTGGTTTTACCTTTAGGCTCCTAATAGTATTGGCTTTGGAAAAGAGAGCGAGAGATCCATGACAATGACCAAATCAGTAAGAGATGACATCCCTTCTACCCAAGAGAATCTGATGAAATGGGCTTTGGACAATGGCTACAATCCTGTGACATCATACACGGTGGCTCCGGTGGCTAATAGATTTCACCTCCGGCTTGAGAACAATGGTAAGTGTGATCTTCGACCCTGTTGTATAGCTGATATCCCCCAGATGAAGATTTCCAGTGAAGGACTCTCATTTGTACACCTATGTCTATTTTTCTGCTATACATTTTAATAATTCTTTTGACTGTTTTTCACTGTAAAGCTCAAAATAATGTAGAGTTGGTGTAGAATTGGGAGACTACAATACCTATTTTCAGGGACGCAGTTGATCACATGTTGAGAATTTTGCTGTTCATGTCCCCTGTGATCCTGTCAGAATGATTAGTCTCATGACCAGTTATGGTAGAGCAGGCTAAGGGGCAGACTGTAGGAAAGAAGCCTGTGGTCAGAGGCTGACCCTTATAATGAAAATAATCATGGAGGCTCAGACTGGGGCTATTTTTCATACAAGGGACAGAGACAGAGGTTCACTCTAGTTTGGCTAGTGAAAGCAGAGATTCCACAAGTTTGTGGGGGTTTCCAGAGTCTGTTTTTCTGTTTTTGAGACAGGGCCTCCCTGTAGCCTCAGCTGGCCTGGAACTCATTATGTATACCAGGCTGGCCTTGATCTCCCAAAGATCTGCTTGCCCCTGCCTCCCGAGTGCTGGGATTAAAGGCATGTGCCACCACACCCGGCCAGGTTTCTAGAGTCTTAAAGCTAATATGATTTGATCCCTAACCTCAGCCCATGGTAGCACATGGTGCAATGCTGATAGAATGAAGGTTAGAGGTGTAGGTTCAAGGTCCAGTTTCACCACTTCTTCACTATTAGGGGAGATGTTGCATAAACTCTGAAACTCAGATTCTTCTTCAATAACCAGAAAGAAATCAACATATACCTCACTTGGCTGTTGTGAAGGCTTTCCAGATTTGTAAAGTTTCCAGTGTTGTAAAAGCATTCCAAAACCATGGCTTCATTCAGACCCATGCAACTGTAGCATCCTTTTCAAAAGGATCACGTTGGAGAAGTCATGTCTACTAGTCATCTTAATATCCACCTTCCACTGAAGTAGAGCTGACCTCAAACATACATCAGCTGGCCATACAGAGTGGATGTAGTGAATACTAGAGAAATTACTGCTTTTTCTTCAAATTTTTAAAAATATGATAATACTGCACGTTGCTTGCATGGAAATCTTTCTCCTTGAGGAAATAATTGTGCCTTTTCCCCTTAGGGCCTAAGTTCTAAAAGATCAGGGTGCCTGAATACCTTCTAGAATTTACCAATCAAAAAGAAGATGGCAAAATAATTTTAAAATACTAGCATCAAAATGGTAGAACATTTGTCTAATATGTTGAAAGTTCTGGGTTTGGTTGCTGTACTGAAAAGTAAGGTATAAAATGAAAATATTGTATCAATATTGTTTCAAGAAATCTGTTGAGAAACTATTTTACAAAGTCTCTAAATTCAAGGAAAGTATTTTAAAGGCGTTTAAATAGGATGCTATCATCCCACATAACACAGATTTTTATAGCTTGTAGGGACTCAGAAATCATCTACCATAGCGATTCCCAGTCTCTGTGGAACACTTCGTACTGTGAACTTAAGACATTAATGATGTCAGACAACTGGAGTTTTAATAATTCCAAAAGTGATTTTAATGTGCAACCAAAGTTAAGAACTACTGATATAATCCAAGTTCTTAATTTTAAATCTTGGGAAAACCCACCACAGAGAAGTAAGTCACTTGCACAAAGCCACTCAGCTAGTTGGAGCACTGGACCAGAATGCAGGTTTCCAAACTCTTAATCACTTCTACGCATTGCTTATCAGAGGTAGTTTTTTACCTGCCCATTCTGTGCTAATTCTTCCTGTCCTGTGTGTATTGATGACCTGGCATCACTCAACTAATGATGCTTTGCCTTCTGTTGCCACAGAGGAGATGAGAGATGAGGAAGTCCATACCATCCCTCCTGAGCTTCGGATCCTGCTAGGTCCTGGCAACCTGCCTGCCTTGGAAAATCCACCCTTCCTGGGAGGGGGAAGCCAAAATGGAGGACTCCCTTTTCCTTTCCCGGGTATCCCCAGGAGAGGTTGGAAGGAGGGAGAAGATAGGATCCCCCGGCCAAAGGACCCTGTCATCCCCAGCATTCAGCTGTTTCCTGGTCACAGAGAACCAGAAGAAGTACAGGGGAGCCGGGATGTTTCTGTGTCTGTGAAATGTGACAATGAAAAGATGATCGTGGCTGTGGAAAAAGATTCTTTCCAGGTCAGTGCAGTCTCTTAAAGAAAGAAAAGAAGGTCCTTCTCTCCCTAGCTAGCCCCAGTCTGTTCATTATTTCACTCGAGTTCTTTCACTTTTGAACTCAGGACATTTGATAGTGTTTTCCCCATTGGATGGGCCCACTTCCCCTTGGCTGTGATCCTCACTCAGTTCCTGTTGTTCTCATAGGAGGAGGGGGAGTTCACCTTGTGTGTCAATATTTTGCTCTTGAATTTCCAAGGCCAACAAACGCAATCCTTGGGCTCTTGACAGGTGGTCAGAGAGGAAGAGGTGGGAGGGAGTGAGGATCATAGTACAAGGCTCTTAGCCACCCTTAACATGGAAGACTGGGCAGTGTGTGTTAACTGTGTGCCGTAGGACTGCCTGTGAGCCCTTCAGTATATCTTTGGTGGTTGTCATTTCAGCCCAGTGACGACTCAGGGATAGAGCTTACCCTCTTGGATCCTTCCTGCAAGGCTAAGATGAATGGCACTCACTTCGTTTTGGAGTCTCCTCTGAATGGCTGTGGTACTCGGCACAGGCGGTCAGCCCCTGATGGTGTGGTTTACTATAACTCTGTAAGTAGTCTACAGAATAAAAGCCTCGCCCTTTGTCAGGACATCACTGGGTGTTACTTGCTATTAGTCTTAACATGTCTGTGAAAATGAAGAGGGGCCTGAATAAAGCCAAATGTCAGTTCTCAACAAAATGGGATGTTTTTTGACCCTGAGTCTTCTGTTTTATTTTGCTTTATCAGTGAGTCTTTGGGACTCGAAGGCCCTGTTTTCTCAGCTGGAGTTCTGTTAATCTCACCCACTCCCTCCTTCCATCTGAGGATGACAAAGTGTTCACCAGCAAGGTGACTGTGCCATCCCTCTGTGATCACACTGCAGAGTCAAAAGGCCTGGTCCTTTACAGAACTAAACCCCCAAAGCCCTGGTGTACCTGTGAGCAGCTCTAATAAAGCTGTGTGCTCTCCGGCCTCATCTGAGGCTTGTCCAGAAGTGAGAGAGCATCTTCCTCAGTCGTGTATTTCAAATCAGGAAAGAATCCTTAGGAAGTTATTAGTTGCTCTCCTCCTATCTGTAAGAAAGATCCTAAATGTAAGAAAATCTATTTCTGAAGGTCACTGAAAGATTCCATGAATGTTTCCCAAAGATAATCCATTGCAGTAGCTAAATTTTACTTTCTAAAAATCATTTTTGTCAGTTCATCCACATCGTTTCTGATTAAACCTGTTCTCTTCAGAAAGGGAGACTAGTAAAAGAACTTGAAAGGTGAGATCTCACAAGTATTTCAAAGTACCAGTTTTGCAGTTTAAATTATACTTCTAATTTTAAAATAATTTTCGGAGACCCCATGTTAGCCTTGGACACAGTGTGTGTTTTGTGAACTCTACACACCTATTCCAACCTTGACATGGGCTGGGTCTCTGGGAGGCCAGTTCATTCTACTGCCCATCCACAGATATACTTGACTTAACCCAGAGAGCAGGCTGGAGAGGTGGTCTCTGGTCCATGGATCACATGGGTAGTGACATTTCCTGTGAGCTCAGTATATTGCTCCTCAGAGAACCTTAGAAGATTGGAGCTAGAAAGAGCCCAAAGGTGATCTCATCCATTTTCCTCATTTCACAGGCAAGGAAATTGAGCTCTGGGAAGTTATAAGACTTGCTCAGATTCAAGGGACTAGTTAAAACAGAGCCAGGACTAACTCTTCTTCCTGATCTCACATCCACTACGCGTCCCTCAATTTCAGACTGGCGTACATAATCTCCCTTTGCTACTTAACTAATTAACCTTTGACTTCTTGTTCATTACGGCAGTAATTTTGTTGTAATCATACTGTTTCTCAAAATTGAATGTCGTGGAATACTTGTATACTTGATTTGGACATTTAAAAGCCAGTTTCCAAATTAACACTGATAAGAGAGTAATCTGTTGCATTTTTTTTAAAAAAGGTTTCAGTTGCTTCAGGAGAGAAAGGATATTCTGACCTCTAAGAGCCCTTTATTCTCCCGTTTTTACTTCATTGTGACTCAAGGCAAGCAGAACCCGAGGTACTTGGCTCGGTGGTGCCAAGGCTCTCCTGCCATTTTTCTTCTTACTCTTCCCATTTTCTTCCTTTTGGTAAATATTTCAGCTGGTTGATCCAGTTTAAAACCATTTGTAGTAACTTTCAAACTTACTGTGCAGTTTTGTTCTCCATTAAGTTCAGAAGTCAAGCATAGGAACGGAAAGAAATTAGGAGTTAATTTGTAGAGTCCTGGTCCTTGGGTGAACCTTTCCATCATATTTAGCACTAGCCCAGCAACAGTAATTTCAGCATATGTTAAGCTAGATTTTCATCAGTGGAACTTTTTTTTCCATGTGTGTATGTCATACAGAGACATGTAGAAAGGAAAGGGCAAAAGAGGAGGGGAAGAGAAAAGATGATGGGGGGACTGGCTCCATGGAAACACTAGGTCCTGTGCTTCTAACTCAAACCAAACTTTCTGCATCTCTTAATAAACACAAATAGGGCCAGCAAGATGGTACAGTGGGTAAGGTGCTTACCGCCAAGCCTGATGACCTTAATTCGATCCCCAGGACACACATGGTGGAAGGAGAGAACTGACTCCCCAAAATTGCCCTCTACACACACACACACACACACACACACACACACACACAGTGAAACATGTGGGAAAGCACACATGAAAACACACACAACACTAAGTAAATGTAATAAAAATATTTAAAACATTTTAAATGATACAGGTAACAAAAGCTCCTTAGAACTCTTAAGACAACCCCCCCCCCCAGTATGGCTAAGCCTGTTGAAAATCCCTGTAAATTCCATTTCAGTATTTAGTGTTTCCCCCCATTTGAAATAATTTATAATTACCCAGCACAGTTATAAAGAAAATCTGTATTTTTTTTTTTTTTTTTTACAAAGAAAAATAAAAATTCTAGTTCAGGTCTTAAGCTTGACTTGAGCTCATTTTTTTTTTACTACTTTGGAGATAAAATCCTAAAAGACTCAGAGTTTGCTGTTTTTTTTGTTTTTTTTTTTGTATTAGAGTCAAATTTTTGTGTTTGCACTTGAATTGTTACATGGACGTTCCTAGGAAATGGAACCAAACACATGTCCTGTGGTGTTTTCCTATTAATAAGGGCCAATAGCTGTGCTTTCCTTGCCTTTTTAGATTGTGATACAGGTTTTATCTCCTGGGGACAGCAGTGGTTGGCCAGATGGTTATGAAGACTTAGAATCCGGTGACAATGGATTTCCAGGAGACATGGATGAAGGAGAAATTGCCCCCTTGAGCCGACCTGAGATTGTGATGGTATGTGTTGGTTTTCCTTAGGTATTTTGTAGAGAAGATCATTATTCGTTTTGTAGATTTCCATTGGGAACTATCAAAAAATAAAATTGTTATGTTAAAGGCTACAGGGCTTCCATCCTTCATGTGATTTATCCTTATCTGTTTGGGGGGGGGGTTCCAGTTTAACTGCAGCTTGCGGCAGCTGAGGAATCCCAGTGGCTTCCAGGACCAGCCCAATGGAAATATCACCTTCAACATGGAGCTGTACAACACTGACCTGTTTCTGGTGCCTGCCCCAGGGGTCTTCTCTGTGGCAGAGAATGGACATGTTTATGTTGAGGTGAGTGCCAAATGTTAGTCTTGGGCTTCTAATTTAGTGCCATATTGCAGTTCCTGGGACATTGGCTAAAGTACCTTGTACAGGACTCATCCTGCATTTGGATGAGGGCTTGACCTAACAGAAGTGTTAGGTCATGATGGTGATGATGAAAAAATAACAGCTAATATTTATTGCCAATTTATGATGTGCTAAATACAGTTAGAAGTTTCATCAAAATTAATTAGCTTGTTAGAGTAAGAATGGACTAATGATAGCTCCATCTTTTGGATGAGAAAATCAAGACACAAGTCTATCTCGGGTCACACAGCTGGTACCTGGGATAGTTCTACTTCAAAGTCTTCCTTTCAGAAGCCTACTGTTCACTGGGAGCTATCTCATCCCTCCTCAATTTGCTGTTTGAAAGGGAAGAAAACATAACCTCTTAGCAATGTGAATCCAGAGTCACAGATTCCATCCTGGAGAAGACAGATCTATGGCACCAGGCCATGTGCTGTTTGTGTGCCCTGGGTACCACCTGTAGTGTTTCCATTGGGCATGTTGTCCGCTGGTCTTACTGGAAATCATTCTGTGAGTAGGCTTTGGTGCTAAGCAGCAAGCTGGTGTTGTGCTTCACAATGGGGAAGGTGAGAAGCTTTGGTGGTCAAAATGGCATGCTTCCATAGGTTCAGAGTGACTTCAGGGGTCGAAATGGCATACTTCCAAAGGTTCAATGTGACTTTAAAGCATGTACATTTGTTTTACAGACAAGTAACTCACATCTGTGTTGGCTCTGGGACAAAGCACTGGCCCTAGATGTTGTTTTCCTTGATCATATGGAGTCTGTGCCTCCCTTTGGACTCCCTGTTCTGGAGTGCCCTGGGGGAAGGCACTGCTGTCTGCACACTTGCTAATCACAGATCCCTCCTAATCCAGGATTGCTGGCTTCCTCTACCTGTTCTGGCTTCACAGACCACATATGCAATACTGCCTTGCTCGAGCTATGTTGTTGGTAGATTCCATCCATCCTCCCCTTTATTTATTCATATTTTCCCATTTATATCTTTTCATATATGTTTTTGTAAAGTTGGTTTAAAGAAAAACTAGATCAAATTGATTTACTACCATTTTAAATACAAAGTACATTGTTGGGGCTGGAGAAAATGGTTCAAACTATTTTATACTATTTTTCTTTCTTTCTTTCTTCTTTCTTTCTTTCTTTCTTTCTTTTCTCTCTCTCTCTCTCTCTCTCTCTCTGTCTCTCTCTCAACTGGCATCTCAGTCTTAAGATTACTTCTTCAAAGAAGATTTTTTGTTGTTTTTTCAGACAAGGTCTTATTACACAGGCCTGATTGGCCTAGAACTCACAGAGATCTGCCTGCCTCTGCCTCCCAAGTGCTGGGATTAAAGGCGTGCACCACCATGTCCTGGCAAACTTTTATTTTAAAGTTTATTTAAACTACCTAATATATGAAAGAGAATCTGTTTTGCTAAATAGGATAGCAACCAACCATGCCTCATTTTTCTTTCCCAATTTGGACTCCATTGCTGGTAGGAAAATTTTTTACTTAGGTAAAATAAAACTTCATAAATCATTGTCTTAATCTCTTTCTTAGTTTCTTCTGAGCTGTTTCTGGAATCTTCCAGTCCCTCTAGACCACAGATCCTTCCCTTAATCCAAGACCATCAGTTTGCCACCTGTTTTTTGGTCATTCCTAGGTGATCATTGGTCATCTAATGGCAATTCTGCCTTAGTTCATTTGACTTGGTGAATTATAAAGGCCCAGCTGTTTATAGCGCTAAGAATTTGGATCTAAGATCATACTACTAAGAATGGGTGGCATTTATTGACTGGGAGCTCTGCTGTTTGCATGCACCTTTACTTTGCTAATTCTCACAATAACTGGCTCTTCACCATCAATTGGTGTTGTCATCCTAGAGGTGAGCACACAGTTTTTGGTACACATAAGCAGTGTGAATACAATTTCCTTGAAGTTGTCCCACTTTCAAAACCTATAATCTTCCTACCACTCACTTTCAGCCCATTCTACAGACAAAGACTTGCTAATATTTTTTCCCCTCCAGGACAACTTTTTTGGGACACTTCAGGCATCCTGCCAGTACATACTTTCTTTAACACATTTTTGCATTATGGGCTCTGAGTTCCTGTTCAATGGCATTTTGCATTAGCAGCATGTATGTAATTTAGCATCTTTCCAAGATGGAATATCTTGTTCAGCAGAAATAACTCGGAGATAGTGAAATGGACATATTTACAGACTGTCACCACAAAGTGACAGTATCATAATCATTTCCATGTCTCACATCAACTTCATGTTGAGTATTCTCTGGTTAACAGTGCACAAATCTTTCACAATAGGCCTGTGGATTGGGGACCCCCTACAATGTCGGGGGTTTCCCCTAGGCAGGTCAAAATGGAAAGTTTATCTCTCCATGTCTTTTGAAAGAATTTTTGGGCTATTGGCCTATGGGTAAAGAACTTTATTTCTAGAGTGTTTTAGTTTACTTTGATCCTAAGTTTAGTCAGGGAAAGTGGTACTGAAGGGGGTGGGGCAGCTCACACAGGGATCCATGTGTCACCAAATGGTGGAGCCAGTCTGTTCCAGGGATTTTAGCTGAGTTCAGGATAGTTGAGGTTTGAATTCTGTTTACACTTGGCTAAACACTACTTCCTGTTTCTAAACAAAAGAACCTTAATAAGATTTGGACATGGCCCACACAAATGTTTTCTAAGAGGGAAGTGTAAATGAGCTGGAAATGTTTCCAGATTAGTTTTCCCTTAAAATACCTCTGGGTTTGAAGAGTGAAGGGAGAGTTCTTGGCAAGGCTAGTTTGGTCCTGTGAGCAGCTGGGACACTTTGCCAGGTGGGTAATGGCTACCAGATTGCACTGTCACTGACATGAGGCACCAGAGGCCAGCTCTGCCTGCTTGCTGACAAAGCAGGATGAATCTGTAGCTTTATACAGTGTTCTGGGTTTGCCCTGACTTGTTACTTGGTTATCCCTGCCTAGGCTAGGTAGACTCTGCCTCTATACTGTGCTTTGGGGGCAGTTTTTAGAAAGCGTGTCTGTATATAATACATGTTTTTATTTTTATCAGTGGACTTATGGAAGGTCAAAGAGACATGATCCTCTTTCACATCCAGGGTGGCATTTGAACTAGACAGTTTGCTGTCATCTGAAGAAAGTATCTCTGTCTTGAGAGTGTGTTACTGTTGCAATTAGACTACTATACATTTTTTATGAAAATACAGCAATATCTCATCCAAAGAACTATGTCAGGAGCTGGGCATAGTGTTGCATGCTTTTAATACCAGGATTTGGTAGGCAGAGGTAGACAGATCTTGGTGAGTTCAGTCTACATAGAGAGTTCCACGCCTGCTGGGGGGCTATAGAGAGAACTTGTCTCTAAATAAATAAATAAATAAATAAACAAACAAACAAACAAATAGAAACTATGTCAGGGTATTGTCCTTGTGCCTAAAGTAAAATTGGATGCTAACCCATTTCTGAATTGACCTTTCTGTTCCTTTACAGGTGTCTGTCACTAAGGCTGACCAAGAACTGGGATTCGCCATCCAAACATGCTTTATCTCTCCATACTCAAACCCTGACAGAATGTCTGATTACACCATCATTGAGAACATTTGTCCGAAAGATGAATCTGTGAAATTTTACAGCACCCAGAAAGTTCACTTTCCAATCCCGTATGCCGAGGTGGATAGGAAGCGGTTCAGCTTCGTCTTCAAGTCCGTGTTCAACACCTCATTGCTTTTCCTGCAGTGTGAGCTGACGCTCTGCACCAAGAAGGAGAGGGACCCCCAGAAGCTGCCAAAGGTCAGCCGGTCGGTCGTTTGGACCGTTCTTGGGCATATTTGCATAAGAAAGTGTCCTACTGGGGGACTGTGATCCCAAGTTACTGTAGGTTTTAGATTTCTTTTGCTTTTAGAGCTATCCAATTGAATAACTGTGAGTGGGGAATTCAGCATTATGAAGTCTTGGAGGATAAATCTTGACAGTGTGATCTTTTCTTCCTATGTGTGTTTAGTTAGACTTCATGGGTGATAAATCAGGACTGTTTTCCACTGAGGGAGAGACCTGGCTTTATCTCTGTCATTCAGATAGTAGACGGTTCCAGAAGGACAGCGTGCCCAAAGGACAAGTTCAGTTTGAGGATTAATTTTTCCAGGTCCCACTGAGACTGGGATTGCAATTGTTTTTTTGACCTTCTCTGTATGAATTATTAAGGTTGCCTTGTCTCGGGAAGATTTCTAAGGGAAATTAACAAATACTTTACTTTTCCTTGATTCCTTATCAGTTTATCATGTTTGTCTTATGTTATCCCCCATATCAAACCAGTACATTCTGTTGCCATAACAGAAATCAGAACCTTTTGACCTTGTTGGGAGTTGCTATTACAGAGGCTCTGTAAGGTCAATTATGATGGCTTGATAAGTCAGCCTTATGTGGAACAGGTATCTTCTGCTGTGGTTTTGTTTCTGTGACCTGCTGTGGTTATGTATTATTTCTTATGTACATTTATTCAGTAGCTAGAACACACAGCGTAAGCTAGCTTATAATTCTTGTGTTATTATGTATCTGCTGATATCTCAAACCTTAGAAAATCAAGTTGTATCATGTGTATGGAATTCTCTCATTTAATATATATTATTATTATTATTATTATTATTATTATTATTATTATTATAAGTATATTACCATCAATCTGAAGCCATTGAACTAGTTCCCTGAGAATTTTGTCTATATATAAAAATGTAGCGCCGGGTATGGTGGTACACTCCTTTAATCCCAGCACTCGGGAGGCAGAGGCAGGCAGATCTCTGTGAGTTCGAAGCCACCTTGGTCTACATAGTGAGTTCCAGGCCAGCTGGGGCTACAGGGAGACCCTGTCTCAAAAAGACTCCCTCTCATCAAAATGCAGCAAATTGATAAGCACTAGAGAACACATACAAAGAGACTTGGACTATATTCGTCTCTTTGCTTTTGGAACCACTGGTGCCTTAGCCTCATGGACATTCCACCTTCTTGTGGCCATCAAGATTGGGATTTAGTATACAGTGGTAGAGAACCATGGGGAACTCTGGGCCTGGAGGAAGGATATCTTTTTAGGAGTCAAGGTTTTGGAAGAGGAAGCCTAGTAGTTACAAAGTTCCCTGTTGGTGACTTTGGCTATCACCTTTCTGAGCCTGAAGGAAGAGCCCTACTTCACAGTGTGTTAATCTGTAAGAATTCAACCTAATAGTTCCTTCTAGAACTCTGAGGTCTAAGTCCCAGGCTGTGACCTTAAACCTCAGGTAACTGTTTACCTCCAAGGTAGGACACAGTGGAGAGTACAGGAACCGAGATAGAAGACCTGCTCCCTGCTCACAGGACTTCAAGCAAGTCCCTAAGCTCTTCAGAACCAGTATGACCTTGTCTATAACGTGAAAATAATAATGCCTTGCTTCCCTCCTGAGTAGACAAGCAAAGACACAGCAGCTAGAGTGTCACAGGGACCAGGAGGAGCTGGTGATGCTGCCTCATTAAAGGCAGCCTTTCCTTTTTTCTAATGACTTCTGAGTGCCTCTGTGATGACAAAGGAAGCTCGAGCACCTTCTAGGGAGAAGTACCAATGATGATTGAATTCACCCCTGCCTATTGTTATGAGAGTTAAGTGTCTGGCTCAGGGCTACCCTCCAAGACAGAGGCAGAATCACACACTCTTATTTAACCAAAGAACTAATTGGACAGTAAGAGGAAAGTAAAGTAGCAAAGCAAACTGCACATCTTTTCAGTAATGATGGCTTGCCACGGAAGATCCCGTTTCCCTCTACAAGAGAACTGGGGAGGGGGATTGAATATCTTGTAATATGTGTCTGTGTCTGGCTTGTGTGTGGCCCGAAGAAGTGTAGTTTTTTAGATACAATGTCTCCCAAGATGTGTTCTGATAAGTTTGAGGACTGAAAATAGCTAAAAGCTGCTGATCTCATGGCTTCCACACCTGGACATCACTCTAGGATGTGTGTTTTGGAACATTAAAAGCAAATGACCCTGGGAAAAACTATGAATGTAGCTCAACTGCAGAGCATGAGCTTAGCATGTGTGAGTCACTGGGATAAATCTCTAGCACCAAGAGAAAAAGAAAGTCAAATTAAAAAATGACTATGGAAAGCTTAATTTTCCACAGTCTAAAACAAAACAAACTTTGATTATGATTAGATAACAAATATACATTCTGCCAGCTTTATAACACCATAATTGAAGTTTCCCACAATCACAAGTTTACAAATGTTTATCGCAAATACTGCCAAAGACCATTTATGTGAAGTCATTTTGGTACAGTGTCACTTGTGTAATTCTCCTATTTTTCAGACTAATTGTAAGACTTCTAGCTGTTTTGTGGGAAGAAGGGACAAGAAGACAATATTTATAAGCTACCCAATGATCTTTGCATCTTTCAGAGCAGCTGAAAATACACTGGGTCTGTTAAGACATCTCCCTGATTATTTAGGGTTCTTTGAAAAACACACAGATCTCCTGTTTTCCTGTGGCTAACAGCTGTGAGCTGTCTAAACAGTGGCCTAGAACCACTGTGTGTGGGACCGAGGAAGGCACTTTTCCGTGAGCCCTGACCCCTTTGCTCTGCCTCCCTGCAGTGCGTGCCTCCTGATGAAGCCTGCACCTCTCTGGATGCCACCATGATCTGGGCCATGATGCAGAATAAGAAGACGTTCACAAAGGCCCTGGCAGTGGTTCACCAAGCAGATCATAAAGGTGAGAATGGGGGTCTAAGGTCTGCTTTGAAAAAGATCCCCAGAACCCTTATGGTGAAGGAGAGAACTGACTCCTGCAAGTTGTCCTCTGACTTCCACACACATGCTGTGGCACACGTATGCATACAAAACCACACACACGCACACTGAATAAATGAAAAAAGATCTAGTACTATAAATAAAAATCCAGTTTTATTCAAAATATAAATCAGTGCCAGTGAGAAGGCTCGATGGGTTATAGTGCTTGTCACCAAGCCTGACAACCTGAGTTTGATCCCTGGACCCATATGGTAGAATGAGAGAACCAACTGCAGCAAGCTGTCCTCTGCTGTCCACATGTGTGCTGTGGCATATGCATGCGTGCGTGCGCACGCACACACACACACACACACAGAGAAATAGATAAATGTAAACAAATTTAAAATTAAACTATAAATGAAAGACCAGTCAGTAATGTAGAACATAGTTCTTTTGCCTGAAGAGATTTTTCTTTAACTGCTTCTACTCTCATTGTGGCTGTGTTTTAATTCATTTATAAACTATTTTCTCTTTAATGAATAGATCAAGGGGCCAGGGAAATAGCTCAGAGCTGAAGTGCTTGCTAGTACCACAAAGGAAGTAGATCAAGGTAAAGGTTGTCTGTGTCTCCTTACTCTCCATTTGTATTCAAATGTGCTGTGCCTCTGAGTGTGTGTGCAAGAAAGTCCTTGGCATGCTGGACTTGCACACTTTCCACAACCCAGCTTTCTGTAGTCTACTAGGAGCGGCTGTGCTGGCTCCAAGCTTGCTGTAATGCTTGTCAGAGTCACAGATGCCTTTGAGAGGGGGTAAGATCTGTGAATGTTGTCCATTTTAGGTATGCTGGTAGAAAGAAGGTTGAGAACCACTGTCCAGTGAGATTTATAATTAAGTTTTCAGAACTGTATACAGTACCAAGCACTGGCCCCTTTTCATGCTTAGGATTCTTATTCCTGCACGTATAGGAGCAATTTGCCATGCTGTATCTTCTAGGAGAAAGAGAAGGACGTGTTCTGGAATGTGTAGTGTCAGCACCAGGGAGGACAGACAGGGCAGGGTCAGCCCTGATATGGTCCAAGCCTGCAGAACCATCAGGGAACCCCAAGGACTGTGAGGAGGGCCTCCAACAGGGACCATAGCACAGCAGCAGGGGCATGAATAAGCAGCCACATATCAGGCAACTGTCAAACAACTGAGGGGTGGACCAAATGTCACATGGGTAATCTGGGCAGTTCCAATTGTCCCTGTCTAGAAACAGCCAGTCACTCACCAGAAGCCTTGCTGTCTAAGGGTGTCAAGCTGAGGACAGGCTGGCAGAGTGAGAGAAAATGTCAAGCCTTTAAGGTGAGGTATTTCAGACCATGCCCACCATCTTGGAGGGCAGAGAAGAGCCTGGGCACAGGTCTTGACAAAAGCCAGTGCACAGTCTGGCTCTAGCTGCTAGACATCACCAGGGAGCTGTGCTGGCCCATGTTGTTACCAGATCTAGGGTTTGGGGTAACCCTGGATGCACTGTTGGAGATTTGGCAGGACTAAGCAGTGGGGTGGCTCTGGAGTAGGCAAGACCTACCAGAGCAGAGGCAGGTGGGTGCTGGCCAGTTTCTCGTGGCTGTGTGGGCTTTGTAGATCACTATGCCATTCCAAGTGTCACATCATTTCAGAAAGGCAGGAGAGTATGGGGTGGGGGCTGGGAGTGGAGGGCACTGCTCTTGCCTCCCCTGCCCCCAAACTGGCTGTGGTAAGCTCTCCTTGCCTCTATGAATTTCATGGTCTTCATCTGGAAAGAAAGCATTTTGAACAGGTTACATCCAGAAGTCCCTTCAGCTGCAACATCAGCTATACTCTTGGGAGGGCCAAAAGGATTTGTAATCCATTTCCCAGCCATCCTAAACTTGAAATGTAATATTAGATGTTTATTGGTTTTGTTTTGAATGTTGTTTGTATTACTTTCAGTGGCTGATTTTTCAGTCCTTTTAAAGGTAGAACAAGGACTCTTTCTTTAACCAAGTTGCCCAAATGCTGATTCCTTTTCATTGGGTTTAGAAATTGGGAAAATAAATAAGAATATATTAATTGTGTTGCAAAGAAATCATAGTTGGGCAACAGCTGGATGTGTTTTGTGCTATGAAAGTAGTTTAACAATGGCAGCTGCTACCCCATGCTCCATCTGTTACTCTTACCTATTTGGAGAGATGTTATTCTGCTGGTAATTGAACTCAATGGTTTGCTTTTTCCCATGCCAGACAATAATTAGCCATTAATATTACAGCAGTATAACTTCCAGCAATTCTCCCATTCTGTTAAGCCTCGTGCTATTTTTCTAAGCAATTTCTCTTGTAAATTAGGTAATTACTTTTATTTAAACTTAGAGTAATTTTACTGAAAGTTCAGTGTTTTCTTTACATAACAGTTCAAGAGGAAAGTTTTATTTTTTTTTAACCAAATATCAAAGCCATTTCATGAGATTCACTAATTGAGACTAGATTTCAGTGGCGAAGCATCTGGGGGATCAGTTTATTGCTCAAGTTTGTTAAACAAGTCCTGGGGGTTAAGCCCTGTGCCAGCTTCCCAGTGGTTGTATGTAAATTCACCTTGTCCTTTTGCTCTGAATGGGTCGGTTTTTCTGGCAGTTTCAGCTCTGTAATGACTCCTCTCACCTTTTCTGCGTATTTTCTTTGGCTCTGAAACCATTTCTCCTCCATGCAGACTAGTGAAGCCTGGTTTCTTTCAGACTCATGGGGCATTGGAATACGATCAGGGAAAGACATGTGACCATTTGCCTAATACCAATTGAATAATAACTGATACTCTTTCTGGGAGTAGGTCAGGGATGAACTTTGGTAAGATTTCCCAGCAGCCTCCTCGCCCTTTCACCCCATAGGTGACTTTTGGCCCTCCTACAGTAGGAGTTCCCCCTGCCCATTTGGTTCATTTCACCTGTTTGCTGTTGGTTTTTCTAGGATAGCAGACACAGGCAGAAAGCCAGGCAGAGAGTGGTGACCACCAGTGCCCACAGCATGGACATCTTTCAGGAGGTGATTTTTCCTCTGTGGGCAGGGAGAGCGGCCCTCAAGACTACATAAATAATTCTGGGTTCTTCCCATGGGCCACCATTTTTAGTGGAACATTCTTGAGTGTATCATTGTAACTGTGCCCTAAGTTTTGTGCACTAAGTCCTTTGGGAGCCAACACTGCGTTAACATCCTTTAGCTACTTAAACTTTCACAATAGATGATGATGCCTAGCAGGCAGGTGATAGAAATGGCCACAAGGATCCGACATTTATGAAGCATTATCTTTACAGAAGGCTCCGTGCTGAATGCTTACAAGGATTATTGAATTTAATCCCCATGGCAGTTCTGTAGAGAAAGAACTTTAATAACATAGCCAAGGCTACACACCTGTTAATATCAGATCCAGAATTCAAATCTAGTTCTTTGATTTCATAGCCTGTGCAAGGCTTATGCCTTCTCCTAGATGGAGGTCCATTCTAATTTTTAATAAAAACCTCCAATACCATAAACAGCTATCCCCTCACTTCCATTCCCTCCTCCCCTTCCCCCTCTTCACCCCATGTCCCATTTGGTATCAAGGTAGCACTCGAGTATTCTAATGAACATGAGCTGAAAGGAAGATGAAAATGTTTAGGAAAAAAAAAAAGCACATCGTTCTAAAAGGTTAAAATGTTAGGATATGTGTAAACTGTTTAAAAGTGTAAACGTAGATGTTCTGTGACTTTGGGTTATAACTCAAGCACACAGAAAAGCAGAGAACACAAACAGTTTATGCATATTATGGTTTATGGCAAAACAATTAAAATAGTTGAGGTGGAGCCATCCTGCCATTGGTTCTGAAATGCTTTGGAAGAGGCGTGCCAGTTCCGTTTGCTTTGGATGCTGTGGCTTTGCTTTATAGCACTTGGGAGCAGTTGGGTTTACATAACAAAAATGGTTACACTACGTTGGTGATGATTTTGCAAAATGATGAGGAGGAGGAGGAGCCATCATTTCTCTGAAACCGAGTACATGTGCTCAAAGAAGTGCAGACAGAAAAGCAACAAATACCTTCCCAGCTTGGCCATGATTTATAGACGGCATTTAATTCTTAGCAATGTTAAATGTTTGAGACTGGATTGTCTCCATATTTCTACCACATGGACACTCAGTAAATGTTAATTTCCTCTTTTTCAGCCAAATGAGGGTTCTTTTATGGGAGAAAGGGGGTGTTGGAAAGGAAAGCCCTGAATGTCAGTTGGAAGTTAATCCAAGAGAGGTGTAACTTTTTGGAACACATTTGGCTTTTCCACAACCAAAAATACTTTGAAAACAAACCAGCCAGTTTTTGTCTTTTAGTTAAGGTAAAGATAAAGGAAAACATTGGGGACAAGGGAGAAATGCTTAGCAGACAGAGCAAGGCACTCACTCTCCAGTCAAGGAGGGGAGGGATATGATTGATGGGGACATCAGCTTTACCTGTTGAAAAGGTAAAGATTTATTTTGCAAGATTTAAAATATGTGCAAAAATTGAATAAGCCCTCACACAAATCTACCATCCAGTTTCAAAGAATCCCATCACCCATTTGACTGTGTAGAAGGAAACCCAAACACTCAACTTCATCCATAAATAATCCAAGAGGTACCGCTGAAGACTGAGAAGTTATCAAGACCTTGAGCAAGCTCAGTGCTTAGATCACTTAGGAATACTGATCTGAAAGCAGTGTAAAGCTTGAACTGCTGGGAAAGTACCCAATAATAGGATATATAATGATATTTTTGTCATTTATTCTAAAACATATTTACTGAGTTCCTACCACATGGTGGGCATATAGTTGACAAAATTTTCCTGTCTTTACAACACAGTGTTTCTCACCCTGAGTAGCATCATCACAGGCACTGGATAGCTTTGCTGTGGTAGACTATTTGGAACATTGCAGAATGTTTATCTCTACCCACTAGATGCCAGTAGCCACCACCACCACCCCCCATTGCAACCAGGTTGTGACAACCCAATATGTCTCTAGACATCTCTGAGTTTCCAAAAGTCACCCCCAGGTGACAACCTTTGGTTAGTGGCAGGGTGCAGATAAAGGAACAGGTCACATTACAAGGCATGCCATAAATAATGAAATAACCCAGAGAAGCGGTTCAGAAGCAGTGAAGGGAGGTTACTGAACACTGTCTAGAATGGGGCTGGCACACAGCCTCTTGCATCCCTTCCCACCCGCCCCCTTGCCAAATGCCAGCAGATGTGTGTGCTGGTACCAGTTAGATACTTTGTTGCTTTGTTTCTTTGTGGGCCTGCTCAGGCCTGCAATGTTTAGAAGAATGGAATTGAAAACTGGAGATCAAATGCTGTGGTCAGTTACTCATGCATAACCCCAGAAATATCTCGTTTATGAAAACCATGTCCAACCATCTGAGGAGGGGAATTTTGGTTCTGGAGGTAGACCTAAATTTGTTCAGAGTATATGAAAAGATTTGATCCAGAATGTTGATTATAGTGTATTCTCTCTGCAAAGAAATATATTGTTAAAATCTCTTTACAGCAGTATCTAGGGTTCCTTTCTGACAGTCTGTTCCCTAAACCCAAAGTAAATATTGTTACGGCTGCTCTTTCCCTTTCAGCTGGCCAGCCAATTACAGGGTTCTGGAAGAGGCATAGCTATTTTGGTTATACTCAGAGGTTATGGGGCATTGGGGAACAAAAAAGTTAGAGGATAAACCCTTGAACCTCAGCTCTGCAGTGTGTGTGTTGTCTGTACACAGTCATAAAGGAGTTTCACACAGGAGAAATGAGCAGCAATTGTTTTTGTTTAGCGCTCTGAGAAGGCCCTGGGGGAGGGGCAAGGATTAGCTCACAAGTCCATTAAGAATTTTTAAACAATGCCATCCATCACACAAGCTGTGTCATAAAACCTAAATTTTTACATGTGAGGTCTCCTTGGGGGAGAATCATTCTTTTTAAACCACTTGGGGATTCTGAGTGACAAAGTTTAACCACAGGCGGTAGACTAGATGGAACTCTTCCCAGAAGTGTATGTGCGTGTGAGAGCTTCTTGCATGATGCACACCACTGAGACCTTCAAATGCCTTTGCACTTAGTTCAGTGAATTAAACTATTACTTCTTGAAAGGAGGTGAATTTGTGGTTAGATACTCCCACTTCATAGAGAGTTCTTGGGAGTTTAAAATGAGATAAGCAAAGGGGTTTTCTGTCGTAAAATACTAGACAAATGTACAAATGTTAGGTGTCACTATTGCTGTTGTGGCCAATAAGTTAATAGGACCAAAGGCCCAGGAAAGTACATTTTAGGCAAGCCCTATACCAACTGAGCTACATCCCCTGCCAGAAAATGAGACTGTGTGTTCAGCATACTGAATTAGATCCTTTTTCTTTCTCCTTTTCTTTCTTTTTTCTTTTGAGATAGTGTTCTACTTTCACTTCTGTTGCTGTGATAAAATACTCTGACAATCAAAGCAGTATAGACAAGGAAAGGTTTATTTGTCTTACAACTCTAGGTTATAGTCTATCATTGGGGGAATGTGGGGAAAGTCAAGGCAGGAACTTCAAACATCTAGTCATACCACATCCACAGTCAAGAGTAGACACAGGGGGCCAGAGATATGGCTCAGTGGTTAAGAGCACTGGCTGCTCTTACAGAAGACCCGGGTTCAAATTCTATTACCCACATGGTAGGTAACTGCTGTCTGTCCATAGCTCCAGTTCCAGGTGATCTGACACCCTCTTCTGATCTCCGCAGGCAGACACAAGTGCACTTACATACATGCAGGGATTACACTCATACACATAAAAGAAAAATTAATTTTAAAAAGAACAGTGAGAAAAGAATGCATATGTGCTCGGCTTTGTCTCTCATTCTTGTGTAGGTTATGACCCCCTGCCTAGGGAATGGTGCCACCCACACTAGGTTGGGTCTTCCCTCCTCAATTAATTTAATGAATTACAACAAGCTCCCGCAACATCACAAACATGTTCACCTGCTAATCTAATGTAGCTAATCCCTTAGGGAAACCTTCTTTCCAGATGATTCCAGGTTGTGGCAAGTAGGCAAACAAAGCTAACCATCACAGATAGGTTCTCACTATAGCTCGGGCTGGCCTATAGTCATATACTCAAGCCAGCCTCAAACTCATGATCCTCCTGCTTCCATCTTCTGAGTGCTGGGATTATATAGGCCTATGCCACCATGCCTGGTGCTTCTAAATTAGGTCATCTTAAAAAAATCATTTAAATTTTCTTAGTGATTTTATTGAAGGATAATGGCATACATCCTCATCCCAGGGCCATGATAATGCTAACCTTTAGGGGGCCGTATAATTGTACTGGCTGATGTAGCCAGTAGATTCCTTCCCTAGAACTGGACCAAGCTGCGGGGACGGCCATCAGTCTAGTTGAGATGGTTAACCCCCAAAACTTACAATGCTGTCTCCTTCTATACTTCATAGTTCTTTATTTTTATGTATTTGAGTGTATTGCCTGCATGTATATGAGTGCACCCATGTCATGCAATGCCGTGGAGGTCAGAAGAGGGCTTTGGATTCCCCTGGAACTGGAGTTAAGGATAGTTCATAGCCACCATGTGGGTGCTGGGAATTGAACCCGGGTCCTCTGTAAGAGCAGTCAGTGCTCTTAACCGCTGAGCCATCTCTCCAGCCCCAGTTATTTATTTTTATAAAGACCAAATATCATGCTATTTATTTTGGTCAAAGTTCCACAAGTTCCTGTGTGCTTGATTATGGATTCAAAGACAAAGGATTTCCTTCTTTAGTGAATGAAACTAGAGCCGAAAAAGAGACACTAAACACACATCACCTTTAATCTCTAAAAAGGGTGGACTATGAGCCAGGCCTCCACACCCTTTTCCTAGAAAGAGCAGGTAGATAATACTTTCAGTTTGGGACATACAGCCCCTGACTTGACTGTTCCAGTCTAGTATTGTTGTGGGAGGGTAACCATCGATAATATGTAAAGAGCGGAATCATATAAAACTGCATTTATGGAGTGAACTTGAATCTCATGTCATTTTCACATCATGCAGTATTTTTTTGATTTTTTAAAAAAGAAATTATTTCAAAATAACATTTCCCGTCTTAGCTCACAGGCCACAGTGTCCTTGCCCTGGTTTCCTGCTGTTCCCACTGTGGGATAGCAAGCACTATGCACAAGCAGTCACTGAATCAGAGCTAAGGACAGGACACATCCCTGGTCTTACAGCCTGTGAGGCAGGAGTGTGGAATTGTGGTTCAGCCCTTGCCCTGATGATCTCCAGCTGTGACCTGGAGTGGGTCACAGGGTAGCAGAGTCTCAGGCTGGTCATTTGTACAATAACGATTACAAATTCTTTTTCTGCCTGCCCCATAGGACTGGGGTGAGCCACAAATTGAAATCTTGGCCTCGTGGCACTTTATGAGCATGAAGCATTGTAGAAATAGAGAGGCAGACAAGTATTTTAATGGTTCCACTTCTTGTTTCCTCCATTTTGAAAGAAGATGTCAACATTTGAATCATCCTTCACCAAGCATTCCTGAAAGGCTGATTCTATGCTAGTGCGAGCCTTCGAGCTAATGCAGATGAATGAGGCTTCCACTTAGGACGGAAAAGGAAAACCATCAGAAACCTCTCTCCTCTGCCTCCCCAGCATGTTGGGATATGACATATGGTACAAGTGTAACAGAAAAACGGAATGGGCAGTGTGGGGAGAGGCCAGCCCTGCTGGAGAGAGCCAGGAAGGATGAGCTGTAAGAATGCCATCAGGGCAGGTCTAGGGGAGCCAGTCCGGGGATGGCTTGCAAAGTGTGATGACATGAAACAGCAAGGTGCGCAAGGTGCAGAGACCTTGAAGTAGGAGGAGCCGCCAGCATCCGTGAAGGCCCTGGGAAAGGGCAGAGCGGAAACTGTTGCTTTAAGGAGTTCTGGAAAATTCTCTTTGGGGACAGTTGTGGAGACGGAGGAAGTATTTAGGGGAGCATAGTGGTGGAATGCTGGTACCACAGATGGGTGAAGACCGGAACCACAGGTTAAGGAGAAAAGGGTGAATGTATACAATTTGTAAGTTCTTAAAAGAATTCTTAAAAAGTGGAACAGTACTGTGAATATGTTGGAGAAGCATGGTCTCAGGGCTCCGAATCCTTCTGTAAGTAAATATAAATGTATACACACATGAACTCTCAGACTCAAATTTCTTAAGTGCCTGCCTTCGAATTGGGTTCCTAGCACCCAAGTCCAATGACTCACAACCACCTGTTACCCTAGCTTCAGGGGATCCAATGCCTTCTTTTGGCCTCCAAGGGCACCTCCCCCCACACACAGACATACGTCCATATTCGTTAGAAACAAAGCAAGTATTAACAGCTAGAAAAATGTCCACTTCTGTTGAGATTGTGGTGACCCTGTGCTCACATGGAATGTGTGATTTGTGCTTTTGTTCCAGAAAACAATCCAAACACTAAGGAATCGAATCCAGTTCCTCCACGTAAGTCTTTATGCAATTATTTCCAAACAAAGCCCCCAGGGCTTTTGTAAGAATGAGTTGGTTAGGGAAGACTTGCCAAACTTTGGAGTTTTGATAAGAACTCTGGCCTCATCCCTCTTCCCTTTCCTCTCATATTTTATCATTTTCCTCTGCCCTCCCTTCGCCCTCCTTTTTTTTTTGTTACCTCCACTTTTGCCATATTAAAATCTTAGTTTGAGGACCCCCTGGCATATGTGGCATGAATGAGAAGGCAATAACTTCACTTTATACTTAATTATTATTTGCATTCTTGTATCTGTTGTGCTCCGGACTCTATCATCCAGCTGGCTGAGTGGTTTGCCTTAAGTTCTGCCAACAGTATTTACCCACTCAAAGAAATAGTGCTGAGGAAACGCAGTCCCATATGTTCAAGACAGTCTCTAGGCCAAGGGGCGGAGGGAGAAATGACAGGTCGAGTACAGCACCCTTGCTGCAGAATGATGAGCTGGAAATTATGTAGGCCAGTGTCATTACTTAGCACGTTAATGAGAAATAGTTCAGTGAGTTGCCATGGTTATTATGAGTAGGACTCCAGCTTGGCTTCTAGCCGCCCACCCAGGGTTCTTCAAGATGAAATGTCCTTGTGAGAATCTACATTGTTTTCTTCCCTGGGGCTCCCAGGAGCAGTCTCCAGCAATGACCTCCAAGACGTGTATCTAATAGTCATTGTTGCAGTACTTTTATACACAGCCCCTTTGAAACCCTAAGTGAATTATTTCCACAAGGTTATGGAACAGTGGGGCCATGAACTCAGTCATAGAGACCCACGCCAACACATTCTTTCTTACTAGTCTGATTTTCATACATGACATCTCCAACCCTGGAATTAGGTTTTTCATGAAAAACTTGTCATTCTATCTTTGCATCTGTAGGCATAAAAAGGTACATCATGTTTTACTAGCAGTCCAATGGACTAGATTCAGTTATGTGGGTTGGTGGACTGGGTTGTCATCCTACCCTCCATCAGGTGTTTCCCAGTTCTTGCACTTTCTGGGGGACCTTCCTCCGTTACACTCGTGTAGGCTCATTTTGTGTGCCTCCTGCCTTGGGTGGGTAACATCATTTCATTTTCCAGAATATAAATGAACATACCAGAGGGCACACAGCTAAAGGTGGGAGCTTGTGTCCTCCTAAACTGTGTCAGAGCATACTCCCCCAAGTCCTTTGAAGAGCTGGGGCTGCTCAAGGCTCACATTTGTCTATAAATGAATCTTTTGCATTGAAGTGAGTTAAAAAGCAAAGGAAATTTAATTTATATAGCAATCAGCTGGAGTTACTTCTGACCAGAGTGGGAAATAGAAATTGGATCTAAATAACAGATTGTGTACCTTTGATTTATATTTTTTTTATATTTTATTTTCATGTGTATGAGTGTTATGCCTGCATATGTGTAAGTGCACCCATATCATGCAGTGCCCACAGAGGACAGAAGGGGGTGTCAGATCCCCTGGAACTGGAGTTAACAGATAGTTGTTAGCTGCCATGTGGGTACTGGGATTTGATCTCTTCAGCCATATATATATATAATTTATTTGAAGAGAGACCTTTAAATTATTTTACCAAAGAAGATAGTTTTTTTCAATAAAAGGAAATATCCCATTTCTGTGGCCTGGAATTAATTTCAAATATAAAAATCTTTGCCAAGTAGAGGAACAATTAGTTCTATTTATATGTTTTGCGGACCATAAAACTGACATCCCAACCCACTGAGAAGTAATTTTGTTCCTTCATAGAAAGAGCAGGTCGTTTAAAATGATGCAATCCTTAAGTGCTAAGATTGAGGGTTTAATATGAAATCAGTGAAATGTTCTGATCCACAGGAACAGTTTTTTCCTCTTGCTTCTTTCTTCCTTTCATCTTTCATGCTGTTAAGTGTTCACAAAAATATTTCAGAGTGCTCTAAGGTTATGTTTTATGTGCAATGAGTCTTCTTGTTCCGGGTGTTCAATGAATAAAATGCAACGACTCTGATATTGATAATGGAACTTTACTATCTTTTGAGGCATCTTATCCTGTGAATTTTCAAGTCAGGAAAAATGGGGGCCAAAGATTTAAATTTACAGATTTTTACAGTTACAATTTATTTTATTTGGTGTGTGGGGCGGAGGTGGTTGAGACAATCTCCCTGTAGCCCGAGCTGGCCTGGAACTTGCTATATAGACCAGACTGGCTTCAGTCTCACAGAGATCTGCCTGCCTCTGCCTTCCTAGTGCTGGGATTAAAGGTTTGTGCCACCACGCCCAGCTACAATTACAATTTATAATAAATATATTACAAATACAAAAATTTACAATTTATAATAAATATATTACAAATACAAAAATTTACAAATCTAATTTTTAAAAATGACTTTGCTCAGAGTAAATTACAAACTTAGACGATTTAGAAACTAACTTCCATATTTTCCTTTGTTAAAAAATTTGCAAGTAACAAAATATAGGGTTTTTTATTGTAAACCTTATTACAGTCTCAGATTTTATTGGTCAGTGCTCAGCTTATAAAGCAAGTATAAAATTGCAATGTTTGAGGTCGACTAACTTAGAGTGTGCATTGGTTTTCCTCTTTTATAGCGATTTTCCATGGTCTGGACACTCTAACCGTGATGGGCATTGCGTTTGCAGCTTTTGTGATTGGAGCACTCCTGACGGGGGCCTTGTGGTACATCTATTCACACACAGGTTAGTGTGGCTGTTGACTCAGCATTTTGGGCACCTGCTTCACGATAAAAATATTCACTGGGTGGGTGGGTGGAATAGTACTAACAGAAAAAGAACACTTATTCCCACTATTTTTGTGTTTATGTGTGTGGCATAAATAGGTTTTGTAAAAATGTAATTTGGTTTAAGCAATGGTTGGAAAGGGATGTGTATCCTGTTTCTGTTATGTTGGTGACTTTCAGCTTCTGAAAAAGCCAGTCTGTTGTTAAACTTTAAAGAAAGTTAATACGGACAGGCTGGAGCTAGGAACTAGGAACCATTCTTCTGAAGCAGACGACTTCGGAACAAACTGATAAGTATACAGGAGGTGAGGAAGGAAGCCAGCATTACCCCCGCCCCTGCCATGGGACAGAACCCTGCCCACTGCATTCCCTCATCAATGACTTAAACCAGTTTCTCAGCTTTTAACCCATGCCATGTCTTTCCTGTATTTCTATGATTGTTTAAACAATCAAAATGTATTTTTAATGGATGGAAAGAAATAAAAAGTGAAACAGAGCACTTTTAAAGCTATACACTCCCAACTCCCCAAACTCTGCTGTTCCCCCAACTCCTCTTCTACCAGGCCCAGAGTTAAGATAGGAGCCTGTTCAGAAGCCAGAACAGACTTCGCAAGGCCAGTCAGTCTCCAGCTCAGCGGGGAGGGAGCCCACATCGTCACTCCTAGTTTTCCTCACAAATGTCAGAAGGGATGGCATGCACTTTGAGGCATGTCTGGAGTCTCATTTGTTTTGGGATACTTGTATTTTATGCTGTGAACTTGGGCAAACTTGAACTTTATTCATCCTTCGTGGAACCACTGAATGCTACAATCTTTTTCCTCACCTTGGGCCATTCATTTCAACCAGTCCAGCTGGAAGGATGACTGATTTGAAGGGAGGAGGAGCACTGAAAGGAGCTCTGGCATTCATCATATCATTTATAGAAAATTATTTTTGAATTTGTGTGATGTGTGTGCCTATGGGTATTCATGTTTACATGTGTATAGGCACTTGTGTGAGAGGGTGTGCATGCACACGTGTTGGCTTTGGATGTCTCCTCAGTCACTCCACTTTATTAAGGCAGGGTCCCTTCACTGAACTCTGAGCACCAATTTTGCTGAGTCCAGTTAGCCACCTTGCCCCAGACCCTGTCTCTGTCTCCTTAATGTGATGGTCACAGTTGGCCACCAACTCCACTCAGCTTTTATGTTGGTTATGGATATCCGAACTCTGGTCTTCCTGTTTGCACTGCAGGTGATTTATCCCTTGAGCCATCTCCTCAGTCCCCTCACATCATATCTTAATTCTCTTTGTTGCTAGACAAAATATCAAAGTGTTAAGAATAAAACATGTGACAGAGATCTTCTGTTAGTTGAAATTTCATACTCTTTCCACTAGAATTTCCACTTTGAATACTATATCCCTTGACTAAGGTATTTTAAATTATGGGGAATGGAGGAACAGCCCTTTTGTGCCCCTACCAATCCAAAGCCAACCTCTTGGCAATGGCTTAGGAGAGTTTAATAGTGGGGCTTTGGGTCCTCAAACTGCTGTTCCCAGTCAGCAACCTTTGAGTGAAATGTGTTTCATGTCAGAGAAAACAAAACCCTTAAATAGAATGATTCTGAGTATTATATGTCTGTGAATCATGTGAACTGTTCATAAAAGGAACCAGAAGGGACAGCTTTTTGCAAAGCAACATTTTGGAGTAAATAAGATTATCACAGGAACACTGATATGTTTAGATTCAAATTAATAAATCTTTGCAAGGTTTTCCAGCCTCCTGCATGGAAGAGGTTCTAGGGTTTTTGATGGCCTACATTGTCTTCTGGGAATGAACTTGAAAGTACTCCAAGAAGATTGGAGTCCAGAGTATTTTATGTGGACTGGTCACCCACACACGTTTTCCATGTGCCTGTTCAGTCACTGACTGACCTTGGTCTTAGAGCTAACCCTGAAACACACATGATCAATCTTGGTGCAGGCAGAATATAGGACTACCAAGTGGTACCCACGAGGGGATCACTGAGATCCCCCAGGTGATTCTAGAGTTATCCACAGCCAAGCATCAAATCTGATAGAAGGTAAAACTTAGTTGTATATGTATTGTTCCTCACTGAACTTGGAGGTTCTTATTTCTGACCCCAATTCCTCCAAACTAGAGCCATCAGAGGAAAGTTTAAAGTATATGTTAATGCCAAAATAAAGTTTGCAGATAGAATAAAGGAAAACCAGAAACCCTTCCAATAAATAATTTATGCCCGTCAGAGGCTAAAAGGTTTAAAGACACTGTTCTTTAGGCTTAAGCTGTGTTGGCATCGTGTATGATACCTTTCCAAAATTACTTTTTAGTCAAAGCTATGGCCTCCAGTTCATTTTATACACAGTGCATAAGTAATCTTAGTGCCAAACAAACACGAAGACTCAGTGTAGGACCAAATGGGAGTTTCTTAACCAGAACTCCATTTCTGAACTTGCCTGTAGCAAGTTTAGATGAACAAGGAAGGTCAGAATCAGTGGCCAGTGAACAGAGGTGGGCATCTGCCTCTGTGTCAAAAAACAACCCCTTCATTTGGATGACTTCCCTCTGTATTTCATTCTGTCCGAACTCATAACACAAACCAAATTGCAGATTTGAACTTTGACTATTTACTTATATACCTGGAACAATTGTTGGTCTAAAAAGGTAGAGTTTCCACTCTGCCATGTAACAACTGTGCACACAGGGGGATACCCCCTTAAGGTTCCATTAATCCTGTTTGGATAGCCACATTTCTAAAACTCTGTCTTCTTTGTGCAGAGCTGGGGGGTAGTTGAGGGCAGACATTGTTCTAAACTAGAGGCATAGACTCATGCTCCTGGGGAGCCTTGCTGGTCTGGGGTCCCTAACCTCTAGCTCACAAATGTCCCCAAAGTCAAATGCACAGTTATGTTTTCTAGAGAAAAGCTCTTACCAGTTGCTTTTTAGAAAATCATTTTAGCCTTATCAAAATAATACATGCATACAGTTTAAAGTCTGAAATAGTTCTGCAAGACTTATGAAAAAAATCAGAACCTTCACTGCCTCACTCATTTTTCATATTCCCTAGAATGTTTTTGCTCTTAGCTGATTTTTTGCATATTAATTTATATCTCTGAGTATATTGCTGCTGCTTAATGTTGGTTGGGGCTCTTTTCTGTCAACATCCTCCTGTGGAAAACGATTCACTTCTGTTTCATCCCAATGCCCAGTCCCAATAGTGCATCTATTCCCCTTTCCCCCACCCCCCCTACTGTTAGAACTATACTGAAATCTTGGTTAGATCCACATTCCCCATCTCTGTGACTGTGACCCATTACATGCCAATCACACTATCCATGCAGTGTAATATTTTTTATTGTTCCTTCTGCGTGTCTGTTAGTTTTCCCAAGGATTTAGTCTTACTGCCCATCTCTATCCCCTCTCCCATTTGTTTAGTTATCTAGACATCATTAATTCATGTCCACTCTTTGTCATCTGTCTTGATCTCAATATACACAGGCATCTCATCCATTTTCTTCTCCAAGAAAGTAGTTGGAGGCCTGAAGAAATGGCTCTGAGGTTAAGAGTGCTTGCTGCTCTTCCAGAGAACCCAAATTCAGTTCCCAACATCCATGTCAGGTAGCTCATAACCACCTGTAACTCCAGCTCCATTGGCTTCAACACCCTAGGCACCTGCACTCATGTGTACACATGTATGAGCAAGCACATGCATGGGTGCACACAATTAAAAATGTAACAAGTTTCAGCAAAAGATAGCTAAAGCTATCTAACTTATTCCAGCCTGAACCAGCATCCTGCTGCGTCTTCTCTTTTAACACCCCACTGGAGGTTCCCTTCACTTCTGAGTTGCAGATGTCTCATGTGTATATCCTAAGTCTTCCTCATCCTTAGTTTAGGCAGTAAATGTTTTCATTATGTTGTAAGTGTGAAAATACCCTCATTTTAGAGAAGCACTTGGCAGACAGGTGAGCATGGTACCAACTGTTAAGATTATAAATCCACTCCCTCCAGGATCCTGAAAGCACCTCTCACTGGCTTCTATCTCTGAAGATTGATGCTGAAAGGTTTGAGGGCTTTTAGATTCCCAGTTCTGTGTATATATGATCTGTCTTTCCCTTCCCAAAATTTTATGACAATATCCCTTGATTTAGGTATATTTTCATACATCATGCTAAGAATTGGGCTTTTGGTCTAGAAATTTATGTTCCTTCAGTGCTAAGATCCTCCCTCCTTCCTTGCCTCTTCCACTCTTAATTTTTTTTTTTTTTTGGAGGGAGTTGAGATGGGGGTCTTTCATGCAGCCTAAGCTGGCCTTGAACCTACTGTGAGGCCCAAACTGTCCTCAAACTTGCAATCATCTTGTCTCATACACCCAAGTGCTAGGATTACAGGCATCTGTCCTCACATCTGGTGCTCATGCTGGGGCTCCTCCCTCCTTCCTCTCCACCCCTATTTTCTGTATTCTCACTCTATATTTTATTTGAAATATGAACCTCTTAGTCCTCAAATTTTCCCTTTTCTGTTTTGTTTTTAACTTTCTTCATCCTCTGGGCGTTTCCCTCATCTTTATCTTCCATTTACCTATTTTGTTTAACCTTGAACATTTTTAATTCTAAGAATTTTTTTATGAACTTCCTTGTTTTATTTTTTAAAGTTCTTGCCTTGTGGCTGCATTATCTTATCAATCTGAAAATAATACAGGTTCATTAGGAATGGGAAAGTTCTGAACTTGTGAACTTGCACAGGGTAAGCTGAGGGAGATCTTTTATTGATGAATCCTGGTGTCGCCTCCTTGGGTTTTCCCTCTTAGCTCATCAGGTTTTCCATAAATCAGGCCTTCCTGTTTCCCACCTGCAAGGTACAGGTCTGGCTGGTGTGAGACCATCTTTTATAATGGGTACTGAATAGAATAGGCCGACACAGCAACACATTTGGCAAACAGACACTGGAAAACAAAT